TAAATTGTCAGCAAAGAAACCTTAGAACACTATAATAAAAAAAAGGAAGTATGCGTTAAGAATTAATGTTGCTTTATATGAGTCAGTCAGACTAGACTCTTTTAAAAAGACTCAGCTTGTAGACTAAGAAAATATGGTTATTATCAGAATAAAATTGAAGATTGCTTTCTACTCCAACCATTTTGAAACAATTATAGCTATTTATATTGATGACTGCATAATAGTTGGAGATCATGAAAAATTTCTTTCTGATTTGAAAATGGGAATGTAATATAGAGGAATGCAGCAAAATTAAAATTCTGGGGATTTAATATATTAGATAAAAAAGATTATTACTTAATAGATCAAACGTATAATATTGAACAACTTATATCAAAATTCCCTATTGACACAAAATCCAAATGTAGACTACCTTCACCCACTTGTACTAAAATTAAGCAAATAACACTGAATATTATATTTTATTCGGATCTTTGTTGATAGCACTAGGCTTGATATCTCATACCCGACACCCCTGCTGAGCCGATTCCTCGATTGCAACAACGAAATATGAGATCGCACTTAGAATTCTTAATTACTTATATCAAACAAGGAATATTTCGCATATGAGGGGTAATAAATATTCTAATGACAGTATCTTAATTGAATGCTACTATGACTTATCTTGGACCGAATCCTACGACTATAAAACCACCATGGGTTACATTATTTTAGTTAACGGATCTCTAGTGCAACAATCCTAATATATAGACAAAAAAAAAATAAATCTTCTTGTGAGGCAGAGTGCATAGCTTTAAGCAAGGCTATATCAAATACATTGGCCTTAAAAAATATACAGTAAGAAATATTTCCAAACTATGGATTAAAAGTAAAATTTATATTGACAACGAAGCAGTAAAAGATATAGTAAAAGGTGATGCATCAAACAAGAGGTTAAGACATATTTACAGAACTACTGTCATTTCAAAAACATAATTTCTCGGTAACTGCGTTGGAAACTAATATATGCGATGAAACTATAATAGACTAAAAGCTACCAAAATCTCAAAATAACATGTAATTAAGAAAACACAAAAATATATTATAAATTTTTTGTAAAATAATGATACAAACCCAAAATGAAATCAACTCCTATTCTTTGTTTCTTTGTTTCGTTGTATTGGTACCAGCCTCCCTTTGCGAGTTTCAATCGACTTTTTCATTGTTCATATTCAATCGTCGGACGGGTTTAGGCCTCCTATTCCAAATGTTGTCATAGGAAGCATTTAGTTTGCATTAAAGTGCATTAGTTTTATGGATAAAGGCTAACTTATCACAAGAAGCTCATTTTTCTTTTTAATCGTTTCTTTTTCTATATAGGTAAGGTGAGAGAAATAATATTTTGAAGTTGTTAAAATTTTGAGTTGCTAATATATTCACTAACTTATTTGCACTATTCCCAAAAAAGGAAACAGTGGTATTAATATCAAAAGAACAGAAACGATTAGAAACGACAATATTTCATTAAGGCGTTCTTGAGGGGATTTACTTAGTACACTTAAAACAGAAACTCTTGGTTTAAGAAAATTTAAAAAAGTGACTTTACAAGAATAAAGTTATGCCTCCATCACCTACCTTTAAACAGTCTTGTAGGTACATGTTGTATTTAGTATAAAACTTAATTTCGTTTTTTAGAGGAAATCTGAATAACAAAAATTAACCTTCCTTCTGTGGGCCAACTCTTGAAATTTCCCTTTTTTTTATTCACTTTGTCATCTGTAACGTATTATTTTTATAATGTAAAATTCTCTGAAGATAGTAGTCGCCAACGCAATTGAACTTTTTTGAAAAAAAAGGATTGATAATACAAAAGAAACAAAAACTTATAAGAACTTAGCGCAAGATTGAACGTGAGAAACCTTTGAAATCTTAGAACAAAAGTAAAGTAACAGCATAACTAAATTAGAGCTGGCTCAGGAGAGAATAAAACTTAAAATTAAAAACTTGAAATAGAAGAAGACTTAGAAACTGGAAAAAGCAGAAATAGAAAGGAAGAAGTCGTTCGTCTACAGTAGTAAAGGGGTCTCATACTAATGGGGAATATAAAAGATACATTGACCGCAAATAAAACTAATCCATTCATAGAAAACAAAGCTGGGTCGCACGCTAGATCATAGCATAATCAGCATTCTAAAATATTTAATGTTTATTTTTTTGTAATTCCAGTGCGATTGCTAGGTTTTATAATAATCACAACTCAATTTAGGTATTTGAGTATTTTATTTATACCTTAGTGTAGTGTGCTCATCTATGCGGTTTAACATTCTTTTTGTCTTTTTTAAGCTTGGATCAGAATCTGTAATCGCAGTTCCGCACCTTTATTATTGCGAAGTATAGAACTTGTATGTATGTCCAAATAATTGGAAACCAAAATATTGGCCAATTCTATCCTTTTTTTTAAGACTCACAGAAATGAAAATAGGCCCAGTATTTTTAAGTGCATTACTTTCGTTCTAGGTTTTATCATTAATAGGGAAAAGGGGTTTCTTTTTAAATCATACCTTCTCATTTTGATAACTTTAATGATGTGGCAACCCTAATTTTTTGTTCTTTTTTAACTTCCTTTACCTTTATTCAAGAGAAATACGGCGACCTTGAATTTTTTTTGCGAAAGGAAGTCGATAAAGTTTTGGTAGTCTAACATTTGGGCGTATAAATCTTTACTTCATGTTTTAATTATTTACTTAAATGTTGAAAAGTTTATATTGTTAAGTGGAAAAGTTTCTCCATTTATACTAATTCCGTGCGGTACCAGATAAAAATTCTAACTTTATTCATACTGTTAATATTAGTGTTATTCATATATATTGATAACATTGGTATTATAATTATTATTTATAACATTATCGCTAATACGACTGCTATTAATATTTTTAGCGGTTGTCAATTTTTGGGTTGGATTCCTTACTAATACTCTTATTTGTACAAATTCCATTTCTATAATAATGGTTATATGTTGTAATAAATAAACATAATAATTAGTATTGTCTAAAAAGACATCCATTTCTATAATAATGGTTATATGTTTTAATAAATTAACATAATTATTAGTATTTTCTACAAAGACATTTGTCATATCGCTATCTAATGTTTATTTTAAGCTCTTCTAATCTTTTTAAAATTTGAAGAGCGGAGTATCAGTAATAAGTTAAATTTAAGTAAATAATTTCTTTCCTATCTTTACTATCTTCTCCATGTACTTTAATCTTTTAAACTGTCGTATGCTCTTTTTAAATACCTCTAACCTCTTTACAAAGTTTCTTATTTGCGACCAACAAAGTGGCGAGAATTCTCGTGGGTCGCTGTTAGTAGAAGGGGGGTTCCATGGGCGTAAAAACGATTAAAAAAATTTGCAAATAGTAATAATAATAGAAAAAATTAATAAACTAAAAAAAATTTAGTTATAAAATTTAACAAGAACTTTAACAAGAATGTTTACTGAGATAGTTAAAGGTAAATAAGCAATACATTCGTAAAAAGTTGCAAGAGAATTTCTAAGTGCAAGCCCGCCACTTAACTTGCTACTACCTACTAAAACTGATTGCAAATTAATAACTTTACAGTTAACTAAACTTTAAAAAGTAAACGGAACAATCCTTAGTAATACTCCAACTCCTCCCTTTAAATCCTGTTACGATACCGGTAATAAAATTGCCTCATTCCGTTTAGTAATCCGTGGCTTACGACATGTTAACGTTTTTATAAAGACCATTTACACTGCCGATATATAGTACAATACCTATTACTTTCCTGGAATTTATTTCTTATGAGAAAAAAAATTATATATGTTAGCCTACTATAACTTATATAACTTTTATTGGACAAATATATTAAGTTTAGAATTTTTAAACGACGTACACTGACCAGACTCAGAACATCGCTAATTTTAAAATTATGAGCTTCAAAATACTTTAGTTTACTCTGACATTATTACTTCAGTAACGAAAATGAAGCATTGTAACGCCTACTTTTCACTATTATAATAACTTTTTCTAATTTTTTATCTATTAACCATTAAATCCTTAACAGCTTTTATGAATTCATAAATCTCCTCGACTAGGCAAAATATTTAGTAAATCGTAACATAATGTTATTAATCTTCCAAATAAAAGTTAAAAACATATACTCAAAAGTTTAAAATATAGAAAAATGTTTTAATGGACAATTATTCTCGAGAATTATATGTTAGAGACAACTTTTGACGTATATCGTAATTAACAAGATTTTGGTTTCTTTAGTAAAATAATATAGATAAAACGACCAACGAATAGGGCAATTTAGTATGTTATGCTGTTATTAAATGCAACGGCAAAGAAAAGAGAAATAATAATATGTCACTTTTTCTAAAACTTTTGTAGATACTTGTTTAGTCGAGCGGAGCCCGCGTTGGTCTTCTTTTCACCGCAAGTAGGCGCCAGTGCATCTCTCGTAGAGCTAAATGAGAGTAAAGGCCGCACGAGTTCGGGCTCCAGTTAATTCTCAAATCAAATTTATATTAGAATTGCTTTCAAGTCTCATATTTAAATTGCAGACAAAATTAATATAAATTTATGAATACTATTAATACTATTAAAAGTTATTCACTAGGAGGGTTACTAAAATTGCAATTCCAAATAGTGTTTTTAGTATTACTGTTCACCCAAGCACGTTTACTCCAAAATCGGCAGATGATACAGCAGAGCAGAAATATTATTTGTGATAAAGCACCTAAACGAATTAAGTAAATATTATGTACTTAACGATAAAATTTTTGGTCATTGTAAATAATAATTTGTATAAAAATCTAAATTTTCAAACAAAATTTTATAGCTTCAACACATCTTGCAATATGCAAATTTAATAATCTAGCGGGTGCTAAACATTGGATGGCTTTTTAGGGAGTTTGTGACAAATGCCTTCTCTAACACAAGTGGTTAAAAACTAATAGGACGATCAGCTTGGTAACCAAGCAAGCATTTTGTGAAAAACATGAACTTGTTGGATCCCTTTGCTGTAGTTTGCGTTTGGGGAATAACAATGCTGGTATCCTTGCGCTATTGTAAACTTGAAAACTTTACATATATATACAATTTGTAAAAATTAATTAATCATACCTTTAATAAAGAGCACTTTAGGTTTTTTTTTTAAAAAGCATAATATTGGACTTATTGAAGAAGTTGAAAGTATAAGCGAAATGAGTCAAGGTAATTAACTGTAATAATAATATACTATTAAAAAAAAATGGGGGTTATAAAAAGTATTTTAACTTTTTTTTTTATTTTTTATAGTTGGGAATAGCTGCATCTTCGCAGCAGCCCTATATGGAGTTACACTTGTTATTTGCTTTGGTCTGTTATGATAATTCCAATATTAAGTTGAGGTGATTATAATAATTATAAGGTCTTAAATACTTAAAATATAGAAAACGGCAAAGTTATGACCATCCTTTTCAACTTTCGGGTTTTGATTTTTTTTTTCTTCTAGTTTTTACTTTCTATTTCTATTTGGTTGCTTTTACGCCAGTTATCACTGTTAACTGTAGTTATACAGATAGGGCGGAGTACGAGCCACTCACTGATATAAGGGAAGATCATGGAGGATTGACGACTTAAAAATTTTTTTTTTAAGTTAAAAAATGGAAAAATACATTATTTTAAAAAAACTATTTCTTCGAGCTATTTATAAATTTTTGTTATTCCTTAGCATAACTTTTTTTTTCAAAGTAAGCCACAAGTATTCTGTATAGCTCCACTAAAACTTTTTAAGTAAAGTATGCAGCTCATAAGCCCGTTTTCTGTATTCCCCTGATTTTTTAAGATCCTTCTCCACCTGCGTTGTAACAAATTCCTTTAGAGACGAAATTTCGAGAACAGAAAACAAGAGGTTAACTCCTTCGCCTAAATAAAGCATCCGACTGGCATTGATACAACTTTTGACTATTCCTGATGCACATGGCTAATAATTAAAAGAATATAAAGAAAATTTAAATACCGAGATCGCACGCCAAAGCTGCATACTTAAAAGCTTCAGAGAAATTTTTTTGAATATCCTTTTTTTGAAATAAGTAAACAGCGCTGGATATTGCGTAGAAAGTAGGTGCGCTCACATTTTCCAATATATTACTCTGAATTCCAGTTAAATAGAGAGTGCTTAAGTTGTGGCAACCAAGTCCGCAATGAAAATTTTCACAAGACTTTTTCAAAAAAGTTTCTGCTTTCTTCCCATCTACTCCAATCTTAGAAAATAAAATAAAAAGGGGAAAAAAAAGTAAACAGTTTTGAAAGTGTAAAAACTAACTTTCGGGAGAGTCCCGAGTTTATAGGCCTTGCCAGCATTATTACACCCATTTCCATCACCGTAGTTGCATCCTTTCAAAAAGAAAGCAACGCTATAAGTATGACAATGCTTCATTAAAAACAATAACGACAGGCTAATTTAAAGGACCCTTTTTCTTTGTCAGTTTTACTGGCAAGCCCTGTATAGTACAGAGCCCCAGCAGCCGTACAACTTTCAGCTATGAACAATTAAAAGATGAACACAAATATAAAACACTAACAAAAAGAAAAGGCACCATGTTCTTGATTTAGACAGTTTTCTTCATATAGTTTTAATGCTTCTTTGTAGAGCCTGTTCAAATAAATTAGTTAGCTGGGGCATAACCACAAGCTTAGTTTTTTTAAGCTAAATCTTATCCATGGATATAACTTTGGTACCTATATCGTGTTTGTAAAAAAAAACCTAGTTGATAACAAGCATCGGTGTCTTTATCATTGGTACATAAATCTGAAAGTAACTGCTTTATTTTTTCGTTGTGAGTTTTAAAAGTCTCTTCTACTTTTAGGTCTTTATTTTCTAAGGAATAACTTTCTAAAAAAGTCATTGTACACGCGTTATTTGTAAAAACTTGTAAATATTCTTTGCCATATCCGCTATTCCGTGTTTGGCACGGATCTGTTGATAAACACAATTACCCTTCCTGTCATTTGTTAATACTGCCTCAACTTTATTAATTGAATAAAATCTTAAAAAGTGCTTCTTTAATTTAAAAAAGCTTTTGTAGATGCTCAAATTGTCTTAATGCTTTCGTAATCTAAATTTATCTTATTTCTCTAAAACTCGAGGGCTGGCCTTGAAAAACTCTAGCAAAAAGAAAATAGAGCCAATTTTTATCCTTCATTACGTTACTTCCACTTTTATTTAAACTAGAGTGGAGACATGTATTTGAGCCTAAGTAATGCTTTACTTTACCCATAAATATTGATCGGTCTGTATTTTCCTCATGTTCTTGTAATATTAATATTCCAGAATGATTATAAAATCATATTATTAAAAAAAACTTTAGGCTAATACCTATATTATTTTATTAATTATAATTAATATTATATATTGGGCTCAAGTTTTAGTTACTTTTAGAAAGTTGGTATAAAATATATCTTATAAGATACACTATAAATATAATTAGTTTAGAAAAAGTCGTAGACTTAAAAAATTATATATTTGTTTTCTGTACACCCGTAACAAGCTCACTTTACAGTTCCTGTGTAGCTTGTAGTTGCCTACAAACCATTTGTTTTCGGGTAGCATACCAAGAGAGCTTTATTTTCAAAAAAAAAAGGGTTATATTGGTTACCCTGCAACTATTATTCTAAAGTTTATTATCTATAGTAGCTGAATTTTAAAGTAGTTAAGTATTGATCATTAATAGAGAGTCTAAGAAACCAAGAAGAGAGAAGAAATCTTGAGGTTTTCCTGTGCCTTTCACGTATGTAATTAAGATTTGTTATATTCATATACTTAATTTACTATTTAAATTTAACAGAATGCTAGTACCGTGGCTATTGCTTATTTTTTATTGCTTTTGAAATCTTTTGTAAACTTAAAACTTAGTTAATTGTATAAGTGACTCGCATTGTAAGCTACTAGCTTTATAGGTATAAAAGCTTTCTATACATAGCCAAGTCTGAGGGATAAAGATAAGCAAAATGATTTGGATTACGGTTAAGTGCCGGCTCACCTCGATTAAAGGAGTCACCCTATGGCACACTTGCATTTGTCTCTTAGTAGAATGGCTCCGAGTGCTATTCCTTGCTATATTATGAAATAAACATTTTGTATCATCTTTTACATATAAACAAACCTTTATGAGTAAATGCCCTCTATACAACAGTATATATTTTAAATTGGCGGTCAAGGTAAACAATGGCATAAGTTTCATTCGTGTGTATCTAAGTCAGCAAGTCATAGCTTTAAAGGTGTCTTTAGATATATTTTGTAAGTGTTAAGGCCGATACTATCTAGTTTAGTGACGAAAAAGTATTACCCCCAGCTTAGAACTTTATGATGTAAACATGCATTTAATAATTTGGCTATATCCGTTTAACACTACCTAACGCCAAGACACATCCTTCTGTAAGTAAGCACCCAGTGACGGGAAACCCTCTGCACCGCTGTGTTAGCTTATATATATTTTTACTAACTTAATCCTTGCAAAATTACCAAACTTTTGACGAATAAAAAAAGTTAACACTACTCAAATACAATCAGAAAGTGCTAATTAGGTAAATGACGTCTACTGAAGTTATTAGTCGAGAATTTGTAAAGATCAAAATAAAATCAAAAAGGCAAAGTTAATCGGCCAAAACCTGAAAGCTTATTGGTTAGCAGGGAATGAATAAATGGTGTAAATGGAGTATACCTTTCCGTCTTTGAAGAAGCAGCCCTTTAACAAAAACGCTTCTCATTATTTTTATCACCTCTACAGTATGAGTGTCGAATTATAGGAAAATTTACCTAGGAAAATCTTGTTAAACAAGAATTAGATTGTAGGGGTGCTAAGTAGTGATAAAGTTTGAACAGAAAAACCGAGTTAAAGTTTATTAAATTAAAAGCAAACAAAAACAGTTCACTTCTGTGCCCCATACGTATAATACTTTTTAAAAATTCCGAGGACTCTGAACCAGTCATTCTAAATTCTTAACTAATGGGGTTTTACAGATATTAATTAAATTTTAATAAAGTTTGGTCTTTTTTATTCGTTAAAACACAAGAGGTTGTATTTATGCTTGTGTTTTATTTGGAGTATCTACCAAATAATTGTTTAAATGTTTGTTAAATTGTAACTTTTGTGAAACCATCCTATTAATAAACTGTACCTATTCAATTTCATGTTATATGACACCGCGCCACAATAATAGTTATAATAGTTATACTAAGGTAGGTGGTTTAAAGAAGTTTGCTCTCATCTTTCTCTTGTCGTATTATCCGACTCTTTCCTTCGTAGTTGTCTTGTTACATTTTATTTTGGGTACATTTATATATATTAAAAGGGGTGCTGTCGTGCTAAAGTAAAGGGTTAATTTCATTAAATAAACTAAGAGATTAAAAAGATTGTATTAGTAGAATATATAACCTACTCTCTCTTAAAAATGATATACCTACAGCGCGTGGCTAAAAGGTTGACGCCGTTTGCCTTATGGTTGTTTATTATAATTTAACTTTTGTTTATCCGATCAATTATTTACTCTCTTTTTTATTTTTATAAAATATCAAACTGATCAAATTATAACAGTAGTTATAAGCATTTTGTATTAAGAATATGCGAGAGCTTCTTAAACGAGTTAATATAACTTATACGTATTATTTATATCTTAAAAGTTATGGTTTTTAAAATAGCCAGTTTGCGTCTACATCTTTGCATTGCAACCATTGATATAATATTTATTAATTTTTGAGGAAAAGTAAAGCTGGCATTCATGAGCAAATATTGTTAACTTCCTTTACTTTTAGGTACCCATATATGTTGTAAAGAAAAAATTCATGTTCTGTTGGTTGGTCTGATCTTCCATTACAGCAAATTATATAATTTTTCAAAAACAGCAAATGAAGTCGCTCTCATTTAAATATGTAGATTTATACGATTCACTTCCAGTGCACGCAGCCAAATAAGACAGTTTCTGCTCAACCGAGATGTATGCGCTTTGCGTTTTAATTTATTTTTACTGATAACCTATTTGGGCTATTTTAAAGCTGTCTATATTCATATTAAAAAAAAATCTTCTTAGAATGTTTGCAGGCGCAACTTTGTTTGTGCGAAATTCTCAACTACATCATGAATGCGAAATTGAACCTCTTCTACTTTACCTGGAACGGAGGGCTACACAATGTTTTACTCAATATGAAGAACACCCCAACAATTCAATAACTAATGTTTTGAACTATATCCCAGCACATTTTCCATAATATAAATGAACTAAACATTTTAAAGATATATCTTAGTAAAGCACTTATTGTATCGACTTTAGAAAATCTAACAGATAATATTTTAAATTTGGGTATGAAAGGAAGGGAGACGTAAGTTAAACCCTTAAATTACTGAGACATCACTGTTTTTATGTTATAAGAGATGGCCCGAGAGACCTAAAATTAGTAAAGTGGGCCACCTTCCTCAACACTCTTCATAACGAGAGGATTTAGTTTAAGCAGTTTATGTTATAGCTAATATAACGGATAAATAAATAAATAAAAAATATAAAATAAGGTTTTTTTTTGTAACGTTCTTTGGGCTTATAGGTCTAGTTTGATTGTTTAAAGGTCAAGTTTAATTTGTTGTTTCGGTCTATAGGGCTGAACTTAGTGCTTTCACTAAATGTCTAGAGGATTGTTTTTTTAAAAAGTGAACCTGACGTTTGAATTGTGTGCATTTTTTTTTTGAGAAATTTATGATTAAAAATAAGGACGAAAGAGGATAAGTTTCCCTCAACACATTTAGATTTACAATTGCATATAATAAAACTTTAGCAATAGTTGAGAAGCGTCGAACTCTGATGTTATTGTAGTAATGTACGCGTGGATGCGATAGATAAGTTGTGTAAATTATAGATAAAAATAAGGATGGTTTTTTTTTTAGCAATAGGGACTATATATGTAATGTACCCAAAGCTAATAGAGTAGAGAGCAGTGCTATACAAAATCGTTTTAAAAGAAAGTGTCCAGTAGGCCGCCTAAATTTTTTGTTAACTAGTAGAATTAAAAATGAAAGCAACTGAGTGAATACGGAATATTCTACTAATGAAATTATTCAAAAAAGGTAAATTTACACTGAGTACCTAAGTAGCCGAAAATTAATTTTAAATTAAGCACATAGATCCAGTACTCATAATAGGAACACACTTCTATTCTTTACTTTCTAGCGGTATATACTTAAGAAAGATAAACAACCTAAAATTTCTGTATAAAGAAGACAGCATTTAAAGTTAGAAATTCCTTCTCCTTGTTACCGCCTGCAAATTTTTCTAATATCCTAAAATTAAAATAGCTCCATATATTAGTTCGGATCGACCCCTTAAAAGATATATGATTACAGGCTAATATTAAATAAGAGTTTACTTTGTAAATTTAGCTATTCTTCATTTTCTTGTTAAGAGGACTCACAGAACTGAGTATATCAAATTAGGATCTAAAAAAAAAAATTAAGCGAAATAAGGAGTAACTGAGCATCACCACGCTCATACTTCATCGGTATTAATACCTTTACAAAAGATCAAAAAGGTTTTACTTTGCTCAATATTGCTCAAGTAATGAAGGTGTCTAATGCTAACATGTTGTAGTCCAAATCCAACAATTTTATTGCCTTGTATACCGTCTAACCTGATATTTCGGGACTTCGATCTTCGACATTTTTAAAAAACCCGTGCCTCAACTTTGTAATTATTTTTACTTCTTGTCCAAGCTCAAACTTATTGCCCAAGGCAGGACCAGCCGGATTAAACCTCTAAAACAGTCCTGGGCTTAATAATAATTTATTTATTCTTTTATTGGTTAAGTGCGCTCTTATTTTATAGAAGAAGAGTGCTAATGGAGAGATAGTTTAAACGCAATAAATTGGAATGTTCTCGCATAAATAACTGCTCATAATTTAATACTTGAAACGACATCCTCATTTCTCACTTTTTTGTAGAACGAAGCAATGAAAAGCAAGGAGACTTTAATTTACCTTTTTTTTAATCTTCTCAACTAGGTCGTTGTAGTCAACTCATAAGATAGTATAACCTTTTCGTGTTATAAAAAAAAATAATTTTTATAAAAGTTGTATTCTAAATATATTGAATTTTCCGGGTTTCTTCTTTTTAATTAATTTTATTTTAAGAGCTTACTATTAATGTTCAAATTTTATCCTTATTGTTATTTCGAGACGTTATTTCGGGTTCCTTTGCAAATAATGTGACTCCAAGTTTTTCCGAATTTATATTTTGATGTGTTCTCCATTATATGGTAAGCTTTTAATAATGAAATAAAGGAAATTTATAAAAAACCTACTAAATTCATTATAACATTGAACAACTACTAACGTTTCTAAATTCCCGTACACTCTTTATAACTTGTTAACGTTACAAATATATATTGCTTACAAATTTCCGCAATACTATCATAGTCATAAGTATGCTGATTCCATCTTTCTACACCCAGTTTCTCCTTCTCATCCCATAAGAGTTCACGATTCAGTAAAGCTTGCAAACTCAGAAGCATGTCTGGAGAGAAATACCCGGTAGACCACAGAGTTACAGCGCTAACTTTGCTGCTTTAACCCTTCAACGGGCATAACTCTGGGCTTAGAATAGCTTTGATTTTCTGCGAAATAACCTCCTATGTTAAAACTATACTTTTAAGTTTAATATTTGCTTCAAAATTTGATTCTATATACTCCATTTAATATTTCAAAATAAAACAATAAAACAAATGCTTAGCTATCTAACCAAAAATAAACTTATACCCAGAATGAACACTATTTGTCCAATGAAAAGATCGCGCATCACATGCCCAACTTAACTTTCACTGGCAACCAAATTAACCACATTTTTATATTTTGTTGGTTGCTGCCTAATTCATTAGAACATGGTACTCAAACTTACAGGAGATTGTTTCAGAGACCGAGTCTATCGTTTAGGGTCAATTTCTATAGTCCCTACTCTTACAGATTGAACCTAGGCGACAAGTGGTAAACATAGTATCCTATAACCTATAAGGGGTTAATTGTGTCATACTTTGAACAAAACTGACCTATGCTAAATATATTAAGTTTTATATAGAACTAAACTAAGTCATCTCACTGCTAGTACTTATAGTACTAAAAAAAGGCACAACTAATAATTGTTTTTATTTCGTTTGTTATTGAGGGTCAAGCGTAGTTTTTAACTAGGATTAGTATAAAAAACTTAAAAAAAATTTTTTTTTAATACAATTTACAAACTTTAGAAAGTTGTTACTTAGTAAGAATTTTACATAATTATTTATTTGCAAATGAAAACGACGACTTAGCTTATATCAGAAAATAACACTGAACCTTAACAGCGAATCACTGTATCACTTTCAAGGTTTTCTAAGCAGATGGTGGGTTTTTTTATAAATAAGGCCTTACCCGTTTACTGTAGCAAGCAGTATTATTTTACACCTCATCTCAGTAAGATATAAGTCGTAGTTGCTTGTGTTGTTACTGCTTTTTTTTTTGTGGTTTAAGCAGTTTTTTGCTATGACATTATGTTGTTACTAAAATGAAATTAGTGGGACCTGAACTAGACGACGTTGAGTGCCCTGTATTTTATCCTTCCGAAGCAGAATTTAAAAATTTCAGTGAATATATTACTTATTTGGAGACTACCACAGATGTTTTAAACTTTGGTCTTCTAACTTACAACGCTTACTATATAAGATTTTAATATAACTTAACTAGTTGATTTCTAAGTACTTTAAGTAAGCTGCTTGATAATTTAAGTAACTACTTAAAACAACTCTTTATCCATATCTTTGTACATTTTTTGAATACAACATAATAAGATTTAATAATTAAAGGACTCGCCAGAATTATTCCACCTAAAGGCTGGTCCGGACGTTTATTATTATCTGAAGAGTATTATCAAGAGAAAGTTACCTCAGAAATGAGAATTCCATCGCCTATTTTACAGCAGTTTACAGGAAGTTCAGGTTGTCCAAGTGAAGGAGTATGTTAAACATTTATGGATATTAGCCTAACCTTACGCTATTATTATGGATATTTAAAAATTAATAAAGTAACTCTTTGTTTCAACAAGGAATTTTGAGTTGTATCAACTTCGTGCAAAATGGAATAAGCGTTACTGCTTTTAAACAGAAAGCTTTAAAGTGCAGTGGTCCTGAAGATGAAGTTTTTACGAACAGTTCTGTCGATGAGGAACTATATTTGTCCGGGATTCCAAAAAACAAATTTTTAGAAATTAAGGCTGAAAAGTACTTTTTTATTTTGAGAATTCTGTTTTTGTTAATCTTCTTTAACTAATATGTTTTACATATATATGTGTTTTTAAATTTTTAACTTTTGTTAGACTCTTTTGGGCTACTATTTTAGGTTTTAATCCCGCTCTTTACGGTGCTGATGTAAAAGGTAATATTTTTTTTAATAAATTTTTTTTAGATATTTACCAAGTGCAGTATGGAAAGTTTTTATTTATTACCGAGACCTTTGCCTATAGTGTAGTTCCTCTTGTTTATTTGAAAGGGCCCCGTGGGTGGTACCCTCACAGTTAACGAGGGGCTTCTTATATCACATTTAGCTTTAATTTTATTGGTTGTACGGTCTATAGGCAGATTTGGGATTGGTTGGGCTATTATGTCTCACTTAAATATTAGATTTTGATTTGCTATTGAAAGATGCACACCAAAGCTCGTACTCTACTCTTTTTCAGGCACGTTATTCCCTAAGGATGTCCGAGACTGGAACCTTAATGATCTCCCCTCTTATTTAAAAGATATCGCTGGTTGGCGTTTTTTCCTATATGGCAGCTTTTCTATTGGTTCAATGTATTATAAGGAAAGGAAATTGCCGGCGTAACGACGCCTTACCTGTATTTTGGCATGTGGAAAGCGGCGTTTTGCTGGCACACTGAAGACAAGGACTTGTACAGCATTAACTATTTGCACTTCGGAGCACCGAAGAGCTGGTAAGTATATATTTTTTTCATATATATATATATATATATGTATTTATACTTAGCGTGATTTCTTGAGGTATGGCGTGCCACCTGACGACTATTACCAAATGCTCAACTTTATGAAGCACCACTTTCCTAGCGAATTTAGCAAGTGTTCAGAATTTATGAGGCACAAGCAAGCTCTCGTCTCACCATAGTGCTTTTTTTTGTAGAAAGTCATTATTGTTTAAATAAAGTTTTTTTTATTAATTATTAGCCATCTTCGTCAGAACAGCATTCGTTTTTGTAAAACGACCCAAAGAGAAGGACAATTTGTGATAACGTTTCCTCGATGTTTTCACGCTGGTAATAAGAAATTATTTCCATCATCCCTCGCGCTATGTACTTATCTCATTTTTTTCAACAGGGTTTAACTGGGGGTTCAACTGCGCGGAGGCCGTCAACTTTGCTACTCCTCGCTGGATCGACTACGGCAAAGTCTGCTTTACGGGGCCACAGGGCCGTACTTGTTTTTATATTGACTGAAGTGTTTTTTTATAGAATGCAAAAGTCTGCAGATGCATAGAAGATAGCGTGGACATCGACCTGCGCGGACCCCGCCTCACCACACAGCCACGTGACTTCACTACTCGGGAAAGTCTACGGCATGAACGTCTCAAAGCCAAGGCGCATGGGTCTTTCTTCTCATCACTTACGTAGCACTCATCCATCTTATTTTAGTGGAGGCGCGTATTCAAGAACGATCGAATCATTAATGAGGGCGAGCACGCCAAGCTGGAGACTGAAAACGCTGAACACGTTCGCTTTGTAGACAGCGCTGGAGAAATAGTGAGGGACGCTTGCGCTTCGACAAGACACGTGGAACAAAATGGGGTCGAAAATTTTGGCAGCGTGCTCTGCTCTGTATGCCGCACAGAAGGGATCCTGCTGACCGACCTGGCCGTCCTGGTAGTCCTCCTTTTTTTTAAATTTCGGCTATTATTTTTAATGACAATGACGGTAAAGAGCAAAAGGAAAAGGACGCGAAACACCCTCATTGCGCCCGACTCCCTTGCCAGCGGCTGTTGGGAAGATACTCTTCATCCGAAAGAAACAGGTCACATGGAAAATGGTTATCCATGTGACACTGTAGCACGTGATGGTGCGGCCCAGCAACTTGGAGGCGAAAGTTTGTACACTGCCAATCACAAACCTGCGCGGAGGGGCAGGCGCCTGCTCTCCGCGCAGAAAAGACCTGAACTTTTTAGCAACATCCATAAGTCCAGGGTTGGCATCGTTTGCTGTTATGTTTGCCGCGTGGCTGTTCATTTAGGTGGTTCGGATGAATCCCTTGCCTGGATTTATTTTATTGTTTTTGTTCTTTGGCAGATTGTTACTTCTTAGCCAGCGTGGACTGCAACCGCTGGAAATGTGACCGCTGTAGCACGCGTGCTTACCATGCAGTATGCCTTTTGTCGTATTCCATCGAACTCCTTGCTGTGACCCGCTGAAAAAGAGTTGCGTCTTGTGCCCGAACAGAGCGGGCGCCCTACTACAATGCAAGGATGGGGGTTCTGCCAATCAGAGCTTATGGGCTCACGTGTCTTGCGCCGTATGCTTGCCCGAAACTACTCTAGAGTTCGGTGGTTTATTTATCTTCACTCTTGCTTTTAAGCCTTTTTTATAATAACGGCTTTACGCAAGAGAGCCGCCCTGTAGTGGTCGGGCTATCCAGCATTGGCAGTGCCCGCCGGAAGCTGCGCTGTAAGCTTTGCAAAACCAATGAGAGCACGCCATCAAAAGGCTATCAGGTCTACATTTCAGCACCTTCTTATCATATATACATATATATATATATATATGTTATTTGCGTAGGCGTGCATTCAGTGTGCGTACAAATCCTGCGTTACTGCCTTCCACGTTTCCTGCGCTTTCAAGTATCTATCCGCTTTTATTTGCTCACTTTTTGCTTCTCCTTGACGGTCTCCCTTTGCAGAGGCGCAGGCATGGTCCTTCACGGGGATAGCTGGCCCAACTTTTACTTCTGTCAATGTTACTGTGCCCGTCATGATCCTCATAACCAGCGCCGCTCCCTCCCGATTGTAAGCTGGGACTTCTTAGTTGCGTACTACTTACTGACTTCGCTCTGCTATTTCAGAGTGACGAACCTCTTCCCGATTGTACTCCAGTGTGGGCCAAATATTCACGCGACAAACGATGGTTAGTTATTTTTATTGTAGCGTTCGTTCTCTCTCCCTCTCTCTTTTCTTTTTTAATAACCATTGTGCTTAAGGTACCCTGCGAAAATTGTTTCCTACGACACCAATAAGGAAAAATACACCGTATACATTGTTTAACGTTCTGTCAATACTATTGCCTGCATTACGCCTGGTACTTTATTGTGCAGGTGCTGTTCGAGGACGGCTACCGGGCGATTCTCAAGCGTAACTGTCTCTGGTCGCTGCTGGAATGGGACCTGTGCAGGCCCAAGCACGCTAAAGTTCATTTGTATATTTCTATTGCTGTTTGTTAGTTTTAGTGGCGCACGTGCAGATCGGAATGGCCGAACCTACAGTGGGGAATATTACCAACCGATAGACTTTTTGTTTTGATTTTTTCTCGGATCCTTTGCCGTCTGGCCCTTCCCGCTTCCCTTGCGTTGCATTGGATTGTCTCACAGAAATAAAATATAATACGTGCTTCTTTTATTAGATCTATTATAATTTCAGAGCGTCATTAAATAAGTTTTAAAAATAGGTTAGGATGTTTCGAACTATACTATAAACTTAATAGGTTAAATAAAAAAATATATAACTAATTCAACTATTTTATATAGAATTAATTTTATTAAAAGTGGCTTGTTAAAGATAATTTTGATGTTATTGCTCATACGGATTATTTTTACTATAGTTTAGATTATTTGTAATTGTTATATTATTGTACGTAAAGAACGACTTTAATTTTGGAGATCATAACAATTTGGGACACAAAATTTGTTAATGAAGGAATACTTTTGAAATTACTTGTACTTAGATAATGTTTTACAAATTGTTAACTTCAATTTTTGACTGCTTTATGTGTTCTCATAAAAGAAATTATATTAAAAGCGATTTTGAAGTGAAATGCGCCGTTAGAATTTATATTTGCGATATAATATTTTTATGATTATAAATTTGTTAAGTACTTAATGTTAATTTCATTATTAATAAAAAGTTATGTTTACTGAGTAAAGCTTCCCACCAGCTGCCTTCTTTAGAACGGTTTGCTTGCAGCTGGAAACTTATTAATAAACGCTTAAAATTTCTTAAATTTACCTCTATAAAGAACATAACGTCGAGTGCAAGTTTTTTGTTTTTCTCGCTCAATACAATTAGAAATTTGTTATGGTAAACTGTAGATACACAAGAATATGGGTTTTGTTGCTGAGAATAAAATTAGATATCTTTTTAAATAGCTACTGTAGAACATTATGTTAAGTACGTTCACCCACTTTTTTTAATCCGTACTAATTTTGAATGCGGTTGTTTATTTTAAATGAATTTTAAAAAACGTAACTTTTAAAGTTAAATTTAAAATAGTTTAATTTCTTAAAATAATAAAAATTAGATTTATACAATTTACTAATTCATTGCATTTCCTTTTTGTTAAGGGCTTGATAGCTTGTTTTCTTGAGTAACAAGTTTTGGGGTTGAGATTTATCTAGCAGTTTCAGTTCTATAATTACGTGTGCTACCTTAATATTGCAATTAGTTAAAGTGGACTAGTTTTAAACCAATATCTTTGTAATAGGCTGAAAGTAGGTAACTGTGAAAAAACTATTTTGGAAAGTAAAACGTGTAATTCCTTTGGCTTGCTCATAGAAGTGTTTAACAAATACTAAGAGAATTTCACTAATTATTAAATTAAAAGAGAAAACAATATATATTACTACAAAAAATAATTTTTAACAAGCGTTTGCCATTAATGTACAAAGAATTAAATAAAATTTTATTTTCGAAAAATATTATTTGTATAACGTTCGTAAGCTATCAACGGTTAAATAAATTATATACTTTGTCAGACTACAAGAATATCGGGTTCCTTTCAGTTTCTGATCTTTTTGTCCATCAAATAGCCACAAACACTGCTAACTTGCATGATTACGAGTTTGGAAAAAATTCCTTTTTTTAACGCAAGCGCTATATATAAGAAGTAACGTTTTATAATTATCGAACTTAAATAGTAGCTAAAACTATAATTCAAAAAGTTTTTTCTTAAAATTGTTAAGAGAAAGAATACTAAAAGAATTATTTTCAAATTTGAAAAAGAGGGCCCAAAGTTTTTATAGCAAATTTTTTATTTACTTTATTATGCGCTTTAAATATTAAAAACACTTTTTTGGTATTAATTTAAAAAAAAATTGTGCTATATATACTTAGTCAATAAAAGTCACAAAGCACTTCATTCAAAAATTCTACCTATTAATTTTTGAAATGAAGTCAGGATAGAATAAGAGCGATTTAAAAACAATAAAATTATTTTGTTTGTACTAAATATAACTTGTGACGTTAAACTTCTAGGAATATGTATTTTTAGCCAAAAGTTTATAAATCATCTTGCTGAGTGCAATAAAAATCGCTTGCTTTAAAGTAACAGAAATAAATGCTTCGCTACTTATTGCTTTACGCTATCATTGACTTTATCAAGTGTGTAATATAAATTTCTTCTCGGATAAGATTATTTTTTTAAATGTATAACGGGAAAATTCTTATTCAAACTTGATAATAAAAATTTTTTTTTACAACTTTATTTATCATAGCCGAAAAAATTATACATTAAAGAGCTTCGAAAGGCAAAGCTGTTATCTATAATAGAGAGCAATACATAAAATTCTTATTAAAGCTTCATAAATTCTTCCAAGAGTGTTAAACTCTGATAACTTTTGCTTAAATTGTAAATTATAAATAAAACAGGATACATAGTTTATAAGCCATTCTTTTCAAAAGCAGTGTGCTATTAGCGTAGTCCTTTTTAATTTACAAACCAAAAAAGTTGCTAAGAAGCTTGTGGTTAATACTAAGTCTACAGTACTTGACGTCCCACTTGCTTGCCATTTACCGCATTTGTAAATAAATTAATATTTACCTCTACACTATTTAACTTTCGGCTTCAAATTTAAGTTTAAAAGTAAAAACAGTTATTTGTAAATTTTTTATAAAAATTAATTGGATTATTGTTCGCTGGCAGTACGAAATAGTAGATTAAAATGTGAAAATTAAAGTATAAAGAAAACATTTATTTTCACTTAAATAATTTTTAAATTTTAGTAGAAAGGTAGTCTCTTAGACCAAGAGATGAATAATTTAAGTAGAGCAATAACTGTTTATTTTTTCCTTTCAGTGGGAAAACTTTTTAAATTAACAATATTTGTTGTCTTAATAAAAAAGATAAGAGAAAAATTTAAATAAAAATTAACAATCTTTTATTTATACTTTCGTGCAAACTTATCAAATTTTAGTAATAGTTGTAAGCTAACTAATGAGATGAAAAAGCCTAATAAAAAATTATGAATTATTTTCTTTATTGTAAAACCTTAAAATTCTGCAATAAGTGTAGTTTAATTATTCAGATGGAAAAATTGAATTTAAAGATACACACACATTTCATTAGTGTACTTTTAAAAAATCAGATGGAAAAGTTTTGAAAAAATTAAAAAAAAAGTTATTGGAGTCCTACTACTGGATGATAAAATTAGTAACAATTGTTAATTTTAAGTAATAATTGTAGTCTTCGCAATTAGAAGGAAAAACTTGAACAAAAGGTTAAATTAATTTTACTTAACTGCAAAACTTTTTTTAACTGCAGTTATATTTATAGCCTCAATGATGAAAAGCTGGCAATTATTTACTCTATTGTTAAGCTTCTGAAATTTTAGTAATTATTATATTCTAATTAATTTAAAGAACAAACTTTTTTTTTGAATCTGATAGCGCTTACGCGATGAATACTAGCGTCGCCTGTAGAAGTCGTTTATTCTTATATGCGAACAAGCAGAGCCTGTTGAACCATTGGTGCAACTTTGGGGAGACTTGCTAAGCTGTACAGTACAATACTTTCATTTGAGTTAGTAAATGCATCCGAAAGCCATGGAAGCAAGAACTGACCAATGAGTGATGACAAATAACACTGTGCTTAAGCCAAAGCCGCTGGTACAATTATATAATTAGTTAAAATATAGAGTAAACTACTTGTGTAGCTGGGCTGGTATTAGTTTCTGTTGTGATGAGTCGGCCTTGCTAACGACCAAAAGCAGCAGGGACCAAATAGGGTTGTTTACCAGTATTAACAAAAATAAAAAATCATTTTTTCTTAAAGCAAAACTTTTATTAATTTAATAAGTATAGTTATAAGATAAATGAGAAGTCTGAAGAAATATAAATTATTAATATCCTTTTTTGTATGTTTCAATAAGAACTATAGTCATTATTTTAATAAAAAAAACCTTGAATAAGAAGTTAAAAAAGATTTGAAAATCTTTCTTGAATTCAGTAATAATAATAGTCTCAATAAAGAAGGCAAACTTTGAATAGAATTTAATAATTATTACGACTTTTTTAATTTTCATTTATAATTTTAGTCATTATTTAAAGAAATGGGAAACCTTTTAAGAAAATCCAAAAAAATATTAATACTTAATTACAAACGTTTTTAATTACAGTAATAAATAGTCCTTAAATAAGATAAAAAAAACCTTCATGAATTTAGAAAAAAATTGGCAAAAAATTTTAAATTTTAGTAGGTGTAGTCTTGTTATTAAAAGAAAATCATAAAAATTAAAATTTTGCCAATCTTAAATATCAGTAATAATTTTAGCTTTAATGAAGAAAAGATAACACTTGAGTTTTAATAAATTATTATCTTTTTATTGCAAAACTTTATAAAAATTAGTATAAAGTGTAGTCTTGTTAATTAAAAAAAACTTTAATATAATTGAAATATAATTTTGACAAACTTTAAAATTTCTACAATAATTTTAGCAATAATTAAGATCGAAATTTACTAAGTTTTTTTTAAGTAAAACTTCTTTAATTTCAGATATGATCGTAGAGACTTCCGCCATGGCGCCCAGTCCTGAAGCAAAAAGAAATTTACTTTAACACAAATTTTCTATGGCCAAACCTACCTGTTTCGCTGCAAGCCAACTTTTTAGTAACGGGCGAGATTTGCTTATAACCGAAAGATTCCAAAATCTATAAAATAATATAAATTAAAAAAAAATAAAGTTTTTTTTTTCTATTTGAATTTAAATTTTAAAAAGCAGGCAAAAAAAGGAAATCGTAATATAAAGTAAAAAGTTTTAAATTACTGAAAGAAACATAAAAATAATACATAATTATAGAATAATAAAGTAAATTGTAATAAATTATCAATATTTATAATAATTCAATTTTTTTTAAATAATAAAAAATAACAATTATAATTAAATTTATTAACAGAGAATATTAAAGGGAGTATTAATAATAATTTATAAGTTATAAAAATAATTATATGAAAATTATAATAAATACTATTAAGAGAATAATAAAGTAGATGGCAGTAAATTAATTATTAATTTAAATAATGATAATAAATAATAATTGTAATAATAAACATTGTTTTATAGAAGAAATTAAAGCAAATTTAATAAACTAATCCGTAACTAATAATAATTTGAAATTTTTTTAAAGTTGTTATTTATAAAATAATAATATAGTAATAAGAAATAATATTAAACAAAATTAATTATAGTATATCGCTAAATCAATTAATAATTAAGTATACTTTATATATTTCTAAATATAAATAACAACTTTTATAATAAATAGTTTTTAACTAATAAAAAAATAGAAAATATGAATTAATTAATAATTTATATATTTTCTATAATAAATTATAATAAATAATAATTACTATAATAATAAATATTAAATAAAAAAAATTATAATAAAAATTAATAAAATTAATTTATATTTATATTTATTTAAAAGAATAAATAATACTCATAATAAATAAATATTTCTCTAATCAAAAAAATTATAGTAAATAGTAACAAATAATATAATAATTTTTTTAATATATTTTTTAAAATAAATAATATAATGATAAATTTTCATAGCAGAATAATAAAAGTAAAAATATTAATAAATTAATAAATAGTTAATGATTAAATTAATTTTTAAAATATAATTATAAGTAATAAATAGTCTTAACAAAAAAAATTAAAGTAAATATTAATAAACTGATTTATAGAAAAGAATAATATATAAATTTTTCTAAAAAATAAAAAAAAATAATTATAATATATTTTAACAGAAAAATTAGAGTAAATATTAAAAATAAAAAATTAATTAATAGTTTATAATTAATCAAAAAATTACTTTTTAATAATAAATATAATTACTATTGTAATAAACATTTTTTAACCTAAAAGAATAATAGTAATTGTTAAGAAAGTATAATATTTTAAATTTATTTTATAAATAATAATTATTATAATAATAAATAAATATTTTTCACAAAATAAAATATTATATATAATAAAACTATTTGGTAATTAAAAACAGTTATAAGAACGAATTTTTTTATTAAAATAAAAAAAATAATGAATTTAACAATTTCCATCATTTATTATAATTTTTTACTTTTTTCCTTTTTAATTATTATTAAATGATAACTTGTTGATAAAAGGGTAGTAATTTTAAAAAGCGATTTAAAATTTATTTTAATTTTATTATTTTTATCAGAATAAAAAGAAAAAAATAAAAAACAATTTATTAGTTAACAGTTTTATAAATAATTAAAAATTTTGTTAACAGAAAAAGAAATTAAAGTAGAAATAATAAATTAAATAAAGAAATATATATATATATATATCAATTAAAAATTTTATTAGAAAAAAATTTAGTAAAGCAAAAAATAAATTTATTAAAAAAAATAATTTTTTTTTAATCTGAAAAAACAAAAAAACGGATAATTATAAAAATTTATATTAACAAAAATTATATTAAAAATATTCTTTAGTAAAACTAATTAATAAGTAGAAAATCAAAATTTTTAATCGTAGAAAAAATTAATATTATAAGTAGAATATTAAAATTTTAGTATTCTCTGTTAAAAAAAAGAACATTAATTTTTATAATTATAATAAAATTAAAACAATTAAAATGCAAATAAAAAACTAATTAATAAGGAAAAAATTAAACAATTTACTAATCAATTTAAAAGGAATTAACGGTATTATAAATTATTGAAAAGTAAATATATTTGCATTATAAAACCAATAATATAATATAAATGATATTTCTTAAAAAAAAATTAATTACAAAAAAAGTAAAAAGTAAAAATGTTTTTTAGCTAAGAATAAATTAAAATTTTTTATAATAACTGTAAATATAAAAATATTATAAAATTAATTATGTAATATAAACTATATTTTATTAATAAAATTCTAATTTGTTTTTTTTCTTTAAAAAAAAAAAGCAGATAAAAATCTGTTAAATTTATTAGTACTTTTGAATTATTTAAAACAAGTAGAAAGTAGAAAAAAATAAGAAAAGTAAATAAATAATTTATAATATTTATAACTATAGTAAAAAAATTTTGAGTTTTACAATAATATTTGGTTTATGTTTTTTTAATAAATTATTAAACTAAAAAATAGTTTATAAAAATTAATTTTTTGTTTTTTTTTTTAAAATGAAAGTAAATAAATAAGAAATAAAAAATTTTCTATTTGTTTTAATTACAATAAAAATCCATATAAAAAAAGTAATAAGAATAGTACTTTTCACTTTTGTTATCGAATTCAAAAATATTTTAATTTCTTAATAAATACTAAATTTTATAACAACATAGGTGCAATTAAGTAGAAAATAATAATAATAATCAGTAATCATAATGATAATAATGACAATAATAATACGGTGGTATGCTTAACGGTGATTGGATGCTCCCACATAAAAGTATTCATGGCGGGAGCGTACAAGAAAGGCTTCTTGAAATCCCACGCTCGGGCAATGCAGCTCTTCGCATTAAAGTTTTTTTCGTTAATATATATTCAGCTTTTTTTATTCAAGTAACTAAGTTAATTAATAAAAATAATTTTAAAATTATAAGTAATTACTTTCATAATAGATTAAGTAAAACCAAAAAATTGGTCTAAAAAACTTATATAAAAAGAAATACAAATAATAATTATTTAGATAAAGTAATTATTTTAAAATTAAGTAAAAAGACAAAGTTTAAATTAATTATATTTAAAAGAGCCTAATTGGAACAAAGTCGCAAAAACAAAATAAAAATAAAAAATAAAAAACAATTAATAGATGTAAGAAAAACCTATACTAGAAATAAAAATAATAATCGGTAAAAAGTACTTTAATAAAAAGGAATTTGGTAAAAAAAAATAGATTATAAAATTATTAATAACAAAAGATATAGAATTATTAATAAGTTAAATAAAAAAGTAAGGTTCCAATAATTAATAATATGACATGATTTTATTAAAAAAAGTGATTTAATAAATAATTAACCAAATCAGAACTTAAAAAAAAATTAATCTTGAAAATTATAAAAAATGATTTCGAAGGAAATAAGTAGGGTTTCGGTACAGAAAGTATATATTGCAAGTTCAAACCAGTAAACCTACCAAAATGTAACTACTACGGCAAACCATAACCATCATGGTTTCACCCAAATAAAGCAGTCAATAGAAAGTGAGATTACAAGAGCGTGATAAATACTAGAATGATGATTGGATTACTAGAAGATTGTCGCACAGCCCATTGGCCAGTTTGGCTAATGTGGTGGCGTCGAGGGGGGCTACGACAAGGATGTCTGCCCAACTTCGTAACTATTTTTATAAAAAGGATTTATTAAAACTAAATTGAATAATAAAGAATTTGCAAGACCATTTTATGATTAAAAAGCATTAATGTTCAAAGGCAATAACTTACAAATCAGTGTTAAGAAAAAATGACAACTAATTTGATTATGAATAAAATTATATGGTTAAAGTAATAAATAACTCAAGTATAAATTTGAAGCACGAATCGTAAAAATCAAAGTTATTCTGCAACAAAAATTAAAAAAACTTAATTAGTTTAATTTTACAACTGCTTACTCTATTAACAAAAGGAAATACGATCTTTATTAAATTAACTTTACTCAATTTTTTTTTTCAAATTATCACTAATCCATTAAAAGTGAAGAAAAAATATCACAATTATTATCATTTTGAGGACCTATATTCTAATCTTTTCCTAATTGATAAATACAAGTATGTAATTCATTGATTTGTAGGAATAAATACCAACAAAGTCTTTACTTACTTTAATGTGAAGAACTGTATCCCCAAGTTTTTTCCACTTCTGCTTTAATGTTTAATGTAATCAACTCATTTAAGGTAATATTTATAAAATAATTTTTTAATTAGTAATTTTAAATTCTATTAATGTAGTAGTTTTTATTCTTTGTAAACAAGTATAAAATCAACATATTATTATATAATTTTTTATAATAGCTTAAAATATAGATAACATTTATTATATATTAAATATGAACTAATAATTTTTTAAAAATTGTAAAATTCCAATTTAAATCAGTAGAAAATTGACTTAAGTCGTTGTTAAAACTTATAATATATAAACAAAATAGTTATTTTTATTATTAACAGGTTTAACTTAAGCAAAAAAAAAAGTCAACAGGTTAAAACCCACTCATCCATATCTTCATGAACTTTAACCCGAGATTTTAAAGTCTCATAATCAATGAAAGGTTTGGAATTTTCGGTAATCACGACTCGCACCTAAAAAAATACGTAAAACTATAAAAATTAAGTTTTCTGCAGTGCTTATATTTACTTAAAAGGATTAATAAATAAATAAAATGATATAAAATTTCGCAGTTATCCTTGTCGTGCTTGGTTTTTTATTAAATAACTTTTTTATAAAACCTTGCAACGAGGAAAAGCTTGAGTAACTGAATCTAAAAGAATTGTAGTCTTGATTGCAGCGACACTACCAGTTATACCCAGAAGAAGATGAAATTTTTTATTCTAAAAAATATAAGGAAATATGAAAGCCTTTTTAGATTTTATACTACCAACTTACGACAAAGAAGCTTTCGTTTTCCATTTTTTATCGGTTTATCCAAAGTAAACACAAAATTTTTAATTTAGGGGGCTATCTACGATTTAAAATAAAAAGAATTATCCTATAACCAAGTGATCTAAAGAACTAAAAACAATTAGATTTCCCCAACAGAACAAAACACTTTCTACTATACTTCTTAAAAGTTATCAAGCTTTATTAAAGTTACTTTAAGACAACGCCTACTTTATGTAGTTACATATATATAACGCGCTTAACAGTTAAGAGTTAAGCAGACATCTTTGATAATCGCACCTCTTTAAAAAAAAGAGTTTTATCCCTCAGAAAAAAAAGATCTAAACGATGTCTCCTTGTTCGTTATTTAAATTTATAATGTTTTTAAATTTACCTTCAAAAATAGTATCTTCTAAAAGAAAACTGTTAGTCAGTGATTGAGGCAAAGCCGGTCGCACAGAGAACTTATAATAGGTCTTCAGTTTTACTGCCCCTCTTAAAGCGTAGCAAATTTGAAAAAAGTTTAAAAAGTGGATTGGCCTGGCGTATTCCAAATTCTATGTCCCCTACGCTACTACTATAGTTTTTATATGTAACTCGTTTTATTGCTGATGGAGAGTAAAACTTTTACAACGTCTCCCTCTGAGGAAGATCTACGAGATAAACTTAGATATGTAAGCCGCGCTATCGATCGTTGGTAATAAGTGATTAAATTTCTATTTATTATACAACAAAATAAAAGGTAAATAACTGGTTAATGCAATTTTATATTATTCTTCCCGAATTTGAACACAATGAAAAAGTGGTTGAAGAGCTTTATACTTTGGCTAAATTAAATGAGAAGCAAAATAGGCTTTACCTTAATATAATTAACTTGTACGAAACTCTTATAAAATATTGGCAAGTTAACGGTATATACTTTTTTTGTATAATAATGCTTCATGAAAATAAGATAGTTTCTTTAAATTTGATAAAAGAGAAGACCAACTTTAAGCATCTTTCCAACTTTAACATAAATATTGAAAGTTTTCCGCCAGAGGTAACACAAAACTTTGATTTAAGCGTTGAATTCGCTCTTAAACTTTCGTTAAATGAAATCTCTACACACAAGTATAGGCCTTATTTCATACTTATAAAATATTTTTTTTTCAAATAAAAACTTTTTAAAGGTTGGCTCTCGCTTTATCCCAATACTCTGAGAGTTCTGTAGTTTCTACTTATCAATTAAAAAGTTTAAAAGTTGAAAGTAATCATTATCTTAAAGCCCTTAAAGATATTCAAACGCTTGTGAAAAAGTCGTTAAAGTATTTTTTTTAATCAAACTTTCGTATTTTTTTAAGAGTTAATATATTTCTAAGAGCTTTAGCTTTGCACGAACAAGAGAATAAAGTCAAGGACGTCATCTTGGAAAAGCACTCTGTCGAGGCTGAATTTTATCGTTTGAAAGCAGAAGAGTATCAAAGATTCATAGAAGAATATATTGTACGCTTCAAATTTTTTTAATAAATTTTTAATGTACATTAAGATTTTTCTAAACCAACAAAAATTAATTTATTTTTCCTTTTTTCGTATAATTTCTGCTACAGAATCAGTTTAAAGAAATGGGATTTATTCAAAACCAAGAAACTGAAGATATAAAAGTTCAAGAATGCCCTCTGAGCCACACAGCTCTTCTGAATTTAGAGGCTCGCGTAGCAGCGGCTAAGCAAAAGATTTTACCGCTGCAGAGTAGGATAAACTTTTTTCAAGGGCTGCCCCCCGTAAGTCTGCCTAATCTAAAACCTTTTTTGTTATAGATTTGCAATTCTTTATTTAAAATGATAATTATTCTTTTATTTATATATAGAATGCCAAGTTAGCAAAGATGGCTCTCTCAAAGCTCGAGAATAAGATGGTAATTTTTTAAGTAAAAATTTTTAATAAAATATTAAATTATATCTAAAAACTTTTTATACTTTATTACTTTAATTGTATAAATTTAATAAAAAAAATAAATTTTGCAAGGCGGCGTTACAAAAAGAACTAGAAAGTATCGACTACGATCTTTAAGTTTTGAAGAAATGCGAAGCTTATAAAGTCACTGCCTTTGAAACAGATTGCAAATTATATTTTTTGAAAAAGAAGTAATCTTTCAAGATGGACACGCAGCAGCCGTTCTTCAATATTAAAAATGAAATAAATAGTTTTAAATATACTATTCTTGTATAGAAATTATTAAACTAACGTTAAAAATTTAGTTTGTTTTACAAATTAATTTATCATAAAAAGTACTAAAATTAAATAAATAAAAGTATTATGAAAAAAAAATTCTAAGAAGAGAACTCCGATAATATGCAAAAGGACTATGAGTTCCGGATGGGTGAGATCCACCACGTGTTCGCTGGACACTAGCGAAGCGACGGTGTTGATTATCTCTTCTCTTTTTAGTTGGTCATTATGCCGTTTAGAAAAAATGATCGAAAACTACTTTAAAAAATGGAAAAAAAATAAGTTTTGTTAATTTTTTTTTACTAGTCGGAAGTATTAAAGTAAATAATTTTAAATTAGTACCTTGATCGGGTTTAAGCCTTTTTTATTGAAAAAATTAATAAAAAGTTTTTCGCAAGCTTTTTCAATGCTTTTCAATGAAGCAGTACAAGTAATTGAAACCGGAATCAAGCGGCAAATAAACTTCGATTGTCCACTCTTTTGCCGAAGAATGTCTGAAAAAACTTTATGAACAATTTCCGCGGGACAATTTTCCTTATTTCCTTGGTTTAGCTGAATAAATAGAAGTCCTTTAAAATATAAACAAGAAAATTCACGAAAAGAGTAGAAGTATAAATAAAAAGATTACCTTTACAGTTTATATTAACAGGTTTTAATAGTGGTTGTTTCAGGCTAGCATTTAGTAAATCTAGCTCGGCGCGTAGTTCATCTTCAATGCAACCTTCCCTTATAAGAGCACTTTCTTTTTCCATGTGTTTCTTTAAGTAATAACAACTATTGATAAGGAATAAATGTAAAAGACTTTTTAGAAATATTACAGAAATTATGTTTAAAGCCTCTTTTAAGCATTCTTTTTCTCTATTTTGGTCACAAGTTACTAGAAATCCGGCAACTCCGCGAGGTAAGGCCCCCTTTAAGAAAAAGGTTTTTTAACTTTAAAACCAACTAAACTTTAATATAAAAAACTGTAAAAAAAACTATTTAACCTTTTTAGGTTTCAAGTTATTAGTTTTAAATTTTTTAGCATTGGTCATTATATGGCTTTTCAAAATTAATATGCTAAGATTGCCAAGAGGTAATGATAGCGGTACAAGGAGCTCAGCTCTAATTTACTAAGGGCGTGTAAGTTTTTACAATAAAGCGAACTCGATGGCTTAACCCTGTGTTTAACCCATAACTGGTGAGGTGAATTTATTATAACGTAACTGGGACGTGGGGTATATATATACCCCATATATAAAAATGTTTTTTTGAGACAAATTGGCAGGAATCTTTTAATCTAGTTTTGTTGATTTAGGATCTCTTATGAATGCATACACAAAAAATTAAAATATAAATGTTTATAGATGAAATTTTTAGTGTGATGTAGAATGCATACATAATAGAACAAACTAAAACATAATAGGCTAAAGTTGTGTAAGTTATAACGCTTTCAATGAAGTATCCTAACTATAAAACAATATAGTATATTTAAACAATAACTTTTTGGCAAAAATCCGTTGAGTACAATCTACACAATGACTAACAGTACAACTACCGAAGATTGGAGCTCTACATTCAACATATTAAGTCATGTCTTCCTGTCTTTGTCTCTCTGACCGTTGCCGCACCTATCTTCTCTCATAGGTTGCGGATGATAGTCTGTTAAGGGTTTTTGAAAAATATTTTGTGAGATGTCAGTCGCAGTTCACGAGGTAGACGACTGTTCAGCAACCTTTTGTTCAGTTGAGGCTCTACAAACTGTCTACAAGACTATGATATATTCAATTCTTTTCTGCGCAGGATTCCCAGAAAAACTGTAAAATAGCGCAAGTTTAGAAGAGTAAAGAAAATAGTTTGATGCCATTGTGGTTGATTCTTCAGCTAGTAGAGTAAACGGTGCATTTTTCGTCCATGTCGTCGACGCCTCCGTTAATTTCATGGTAAACCTTCGAAGGAAGAAGCTAGTTCGCACCGTTAGATAAAGTTAAAGTAGGTACGTTTCTCCCCTTTATCCGATTTCTATAAACCAACTTCCTATCGGTTGTTTAATAGAGATCCACTCGAGTAGGAACATAAGTAGTCGTTGTCTATGTTATCTACTACGAGGGATAAGGGGAGAAACGCATCTACTTCAACTTTATCTAACGGTTCATTTCTCCCCTTATTTTTTCCGCCAGATAGTTATTTGCCCCTAACTTTGTGGAAATACAGCATTTGGGATTTGTAGTTTACGTAATTTTAACTCTAGCATCGTGGTTATACGGCGCTGGAAGTATTATTCAAATAGTGGATTTAGTCAGTGGATTATTGCGAGGAAACGCAATGGAAAAATTGGTGGGAGATATGGTTCTTAAGCTATCACTGAAGTGAGAGGTTAAAATTGACATAAGTCTATCTTATGTTGAGATAGAATTTATTGTTGTATTGGTAGTCTGTCCCAACCCTCTTACACAAAAGCATAAAAGTAAATACGTATTAAAAACATCTATACAATAATGTTATTATCAAATCTGAGTAAGTTCTATACATTAGCGTTAATATTTATGGTATATCATAGTACTTCAAAAAATAAACTACTATAAAATACAACTAACAAAAAAAACTAACTTTTTACTAGTTAACCCACTAGTGAAATGCCCTTTTGCACTCTCTTCGCTGGTTTTTAAGCTTGATTAAAAGTATAGAATCGCACACCACAAGAAGGCACCGTAGTCTTGATGCTTGGCTTACTTGTACGAGCTATCGTTTATTTTAGTGAGGCCTGCCTCTACGACGCTTGCTTATGAACTAGATGGATTAAAATCTTATCATTCTCAGGGTTTAGTATATTTATAAAGCTTTAATGTTAATAGCTTCAAGGCAGTGTACCGTATTTAAGCTTATGTGAAGCCGTTTATTCAGTACACTATTTGTATCCTATCTATATACCTATTGTAACTTTGTGAGAAAACGTTATATATAGTATTAGTACAGTAATATGATGTAGGCTGTGGCATACTAAATAGTACTTGTTTCTCATACAATGCTGCAGTAATGCTGTTGGAATATAATTCTATAGAAGTACTTTGATACCAACCTAGACGGGTCCTAGTGTTGGTGTTTAGTAACCCTCTAGCGTCGAAAGGTTTCATTACTTAAGCTGAAATCAGTAAGCTTTAGGTATTCGCGCTAGACTTCTACTTAAATGTTTGTTCATTGAAACATAAAACTTGATACTCTGAACATGGTTGCCCAGCTAGGTAATATCAAGTTGAGATTGACACGTCATTTTGGGAAAGCTGCAAGGGGTATATGAAATGTGACTTGACAATCTTCCACTAGAAAATATTTGCTTTTAAAATTGGTAAAAAGATGTAAGCAGCCTTGGTTCTGTGGCAGGTTTTAGCTCACCTGTCTCATATAGATTTGGCTCACCGTTTAAGGCTGAGAATTTTATTGAGTAGGTTGTAAGTTGTCGAAAACTTCGAGCAGAGTGACGCCAGATTTATAATGATGATCTTAGAATAGAACATCTTGGCTAAATAACGTTGACTCGAAATCTTACGCATTGTACACTAGCGTTGCCGTCTGAGCATTCAGAGAAGCTGGTTGAGTCTTTGACAAAATCGGCTAAGTTTCATAAGTACTTCGGCTTCTAGCTACTAAGTGCGTCTGAAAACGTTCGCTCGAAAAGGCTTATGGAATGAGTGACACGATGGCACTAGTACTCGTATCCAAAGTTGGTGCGTATTGAATACTATTGATTCGGCTAATTAACTGAACTTGTACTTGATCCGTGCTAATGTCTATGGTGCTTGGTTCTCTGTATGGAGTGATGACATGTAGTAATGACTACTGAACTGAATAGTGTTATTAGCTTTTATATATATAAGATGTGCGCACGTATCCTTACCAGATAAATTTTTAAAATGGTTATTAAATTTTTATAACAAAAGCCAAAATCATTTATAAAAATTTTATATTTTTAAATATAGTAAAAGCAACAAGAAAAAGCTGCACTATTTTTAAACAATTTTCTAAGAGTCTGCAAAGAATATTTATTTATGAAACGTTCTTTTTTGTTTTATTTAAAGTATTAAAAATAAAAAATTATGTATTTATAAAGATCATTCACTCCGTTTTAATTGTTTCTTATAACATGTTTTTTTAAAACCTGTTTTAGAGCATTATTTGTGTTTTATTTTGCGTTTACGGATGTGTTAAACCCTTGAAGATTCGATAGTGACTACCAGTCCGACTGGCCGAATCGCAATCGGAAGTCCCAACAATTAAGATTTCATTTCATTTAGTTAAGAATCACTGCAGTAGCTGGTATTGCAACTATTATTAAACTTTTAAACTATCTTCTTATCCACCTCGCGTAAACGGGCTTACCCCTTTTTAGAAAACAACTTATTGACTAATTTTTAGAGTGAAAAAAGTTCTGACACTAATAAGTACGAGGTTGGGCGCGTGCATGAGCGGAAGACTCCATAAAAAAATTTAGCTAAAAATTGCAACATTTTTTAATTAATATGGAAGCAAATAATGAACAAGCCAATTCCTAAAAGATATAAACTAATCTTATTTTGTATCCTTACAGTACGTGGGGCTTTACACTTTTGGCGAGATTTGTGGTGGGTGGAATGATCATAGTCAATGGTATTTTACCACTCTATCCTTTCTTCTGTTTAAAAATTAAATAATATCGTTAAATTTATACTTAAGTTGCTCTTATACTAATTTTTTATTTTATTGCTATTAAAAGTAAGCACATGTGTTTGTAAAATTTTTTTTTTTAATTTCAACAAATTAAAAATTAATAGGTTATGTAGTCTTATGTGTTTGAGAACTATGGGATACTATATCGATGTTTATTTAACAAAAATTTATTGTAATTTATTTTCAAGGGGAAATTGTAAAATCAAGAAGCCCATTCACTTTGGGCTATTGGAAAGAAAAGTTTAATATAACAGTAAACTTCATGACAATGTTGTACGTAATATAAAGTTAATCTATACAACTAAGTACTATGATTTACATAATTAATTTTAGCGTTACCTCGTTCTTTTCTGTATTTCTTCCACCTTCGAAAGATAAGAATAGCCCATTTGGAGGAGAGTCTAAGTATTGAGCGGTTCTTATATTGTTTTAAAAAAAACTTTATATTTATTTTTGTCAGATGGAACGGTGGAGGGAGCAAACCATCCAATGTTGCTTCTATAAAGCATGAACGATTTAACTTCCCCGCTGCTTCTTGTCGCACCTGTCGCGCATGCCCTTCCTAGGAATCCCGCTTATTACTAAAACTGGATTTACAATAGATATTTAATATTAAATATTAAAAATTTTGTCAAATTTTTTTAATTTTAAGGTATTAATAAGTATTGATCCCTTTACTGTGACCTGCTTGGCTATATTACAGTATAACATACACATTAATTGCCACTCAATACATATTTATATTTTGACTGAATTTGGTTTTTAGTAACACGGAATGCAATAGTACAGAATTTACAAGTTTTAAAAATTAGGACTTATTTTTTTAAATTTATTGGTTTGTTTAAAAACAATTAACTGAAAGGCAGTTTAGAAACCGAAAAAAACAACAGGAAGAAGTATAAGTATAAAACTCAAATTTTTGGATAAGAATTAAAGTATTGCAGCAGTTAAAGATAAATAGGCGGTTATGATAAGTAATAAAAGCCATCACAGACGAATTGAAACGTGTCCTTTCTCGTAGTCCACAGAGTTTTAAGCACTCTTTATTGACTTAAAAAGTTTATAATGTTATTGTAAAGTTTTTTAAACTATAACAGCTAAAATAAACAAAGAAGTTATACATAATCATAAGAGGGAATACCGTATACTCCTCTATTGCTGCGTGCAAACACAATGGTAACCTCATAGGGCATAAATATTGCACGTGGTAAAATTAAACTTAAAAGTGATGAGCATGAAACAATTGTTTCGTAATTCTCTGGAAAATGGCTGCTTCGAGGCTTTCGGCTCTTCTTGGAACAGGCAGCTGCTTTCGGGTGGCTTTTTAGTTTCGATTACTTATTTATATATATTATAGGCTTGGTCGTAGGGGGAGTTGTAATTAATACTTGCTTATATAACGTTGATGCCGGTCATGCTGCGGTTATTTACGACCGTTTTACAGGCGTAAAACCGAAGCCAACTCTTGAAGGGACTCATTTTATTACGCCTCTTATACAAAGGTAGTCTTCGCGTTATATTAGAAGTTTTTTCACTATTACTAATAGTTATTATGTGATAGGCCCATAATTTTTGACTGCAGAACACGCCCTCGTACCATAAAAACTATTACAGGATCAAGAGGTTGTGGTATTTAGACATATAAGTATTACCAAGAGATTCATTACTTTCTTTATAGACCTTCAGAAAGTTGATTTACAGCTTCGTATATTATTTAGGCCCAAAGTTTCTGCTTTGCCTAAACTTTATATGGAGTACGGTAGGCGTTCTTTTCACCCCTTTGCTTTTATATAAGCATCTGTATACTTTATTATTTGCAGTCAGTTGAGGGGCGTCTACTGCCTTGTTTTCTATTATTCTAACAAATATAAAAATTTATAATATGTACTTTCGTTCTCGCGGATTTACAAACTACCAACTTTTATTCTTTTAGTTTTTTTAGTATCAATTCTATTGTTTACTTTTATTCTTGTTGGCCTTTATATTTTTATGTAACAAGGACCGGAATATGACGAAAAAATATTTCTTTCTATCGGTAACGAAGTTTTGAAATCCGTTGTTGTAAGTTTTATAGCTGACGATTATAAAGTACATTTTTTATTATTATTTTTAGGCTCAGTTTGACGCCGATCAGTTAATCACTCAGCGCGAGTTAGTTTCTTCTCAAGTTCGCCAGGCCTTAACAAAGCGTAGTAAAAACTTTAATGTTATTCTTGACGACGTTTCTATTGTACGTTTATTATTTACTTTTCTTTTTTCTTTGTAAGCGCGTTAATCATATCATAAGTAGCATTATGCTTACTAAAATATATCAAATTCCTTGATGAAAGTTAGAAGGGGTTTTGCATTTGTTATATTTTTAAACCGTAATTTTTTTTCTTTTATTAATATCTATGTGGAATCTTGTGGTTAATATATGCAACCCGCTATAACTATTAGTTATTGCTTTGGATCTACAGTAGTTATATTAAGATAAAATTTTTTGAAAAATTAAATATATTACTTACATTTACAAATAAAGTTTAATTCGAATTTCTTGACTTTTACTGAAATACGCTTATAATCAGACAGGAAGTTAGTCGTAATAATATAAACTTATTATGAAAGCTTTACTCGCTCTTATTATAAATCATTTTATTAGTTTTTGCAGTCTTCCACGTTTATTACTATATAAGACTTGAAAAATATATATTTTTATTGCTATTGTAGCTTTTGTTGCTATTAATAATTTTTAAATTGAGCATACGGTAACTGTAAATTTTTTTTGGTTTGAAGAATATAAATCTTTTTTGTTAAGCTTTTCTTGTTGGGTTTAATAAAAGAGATAATATAATATAAACTTAAAACAATAACTCAACTCCCCTCTTAAAGTTTTACGAGACCGGATGAGGACGTTAAAATTACTTTTGTTATAAGAATTTCTGGAAGTGTTGAAAAATAGTTTGCCACATGTTTGGTGGAAGAAAGTACTTTTTATTCCATATGGCAGACGTAACAGTTACGTATTATCGATTGCGAGTTGTAAAGTATTAGCACTCCAATGCACTATAGATATTCCATTAGGCCGGGAAGTATTTCATTCATAATTTATGCTGTTTTTGTGTAGTTTATAACCAATTTCCTATAGACGTATACTTTTTCTTTACTTGTGTTGTAGAGTTTGGATTTCTCAAGTCTTTTTTTTTTTGTTTTTATAATGGAAGGAAGCGTTTATGTTAATTGAATCTATAATTTATTGAGGACTTCTCGCGTTATAGTTTTAATGTTGTTTTAACGTTATCATGTCACTGATTACTGCGTATTTAGACGCATTTGTCGTTCAGTCATGAATACCAGCGGGCTGTTGAGATGAAACAAGTCGGTCTCTGATTTGGGTGTAATCATTGCGAATTTCATTTTAGTAATATTTTATACAACTTTACAGAGCAACAACGAGCCGAACAAGCTCGATTTCTTGTAGAAAAAGCTGAGCAAGAACAGCTTGCCGACATGATTCATGCAGAAGGTGAGAGTAAAGCCGCTGAACTTTTTTCAAGCGCAATAAAAACTCATGGTGCTTACTTATTGTTTCCTTTTTTTCCTGTTTTTTATTTTTTATTTTTTCCAGGATCTGCATATCTTGAACTTAAAAAAATTGACGCCGCTGTTCAAGTCGCACAAAATTTGGCGAACAGCAGGAACGTGACTTACTTACCAGGAAAAAATAATTTACTGATTAACACTAATTTAACTTAATTTTATTATTTTTTTTAAAGAATTAAAGGTTTATAACTATTACAATTTTTTTATTAACTCAAAATAAGGGCATAATAAGGAAGTACAATTTACTATTTACTGACCTTTTAAGAATTTTTTGCTTCGCATAATAAGAACTTTAAAATGTCGTTAATTTAATATAAGACAAGAAGTAGAAACTGGATGTTACTAAGCCAGCAACGGTAAAGGATATTTGCAGTTAAGCTTGCGGAGATTAACTGGACAACTTTTTGCAAACCGTATTACTTATCCGTCTTTCCGCTTAAAAAGTTTTTCATTAAGCGAAACAACGAATAGTCGTAATACCTTAAATTTTAGTTACTTCAAACATTTTTTTATACCGTTGAAAAATTGTTAAATAACATTTTTAAGAATTGAGATACGAACTAAAATATTATGCAGATTATAACGAGGCTTAAAAAAAAGCAGTTACCCTCAACTGTATACAGCGGTTTGGTGAACTCCATAAGTTTTATAATGTATCCAATTTAGACACTTAAAATAAAAAGAAAAACTTGACTCTGTCTTGATTACTTCCTTGTATCTACACCAGTTGCTAGTTAAACTCAATTATGTAACATAGTAAACTTTTAGGGGTATTTAGTATTAGGTGACCAACAATATAACCGGTTTCCGCACCCGCTGAAAAGTTCGATGAGTAGTTAAAAGGAAAAACTAAGACTAAGCGAAGAGCGAAGCTCAATACCAATAGCTTTCTTATTCAGTTTATGGTCCTTAAAAGCTCGAATGCACCCGTTTCGCCTCCATTGTGACACGCCACAGTAATTGTGGGTCTGAATAAACGAGACTATAAACACAATGGGCTTAGCTCGCAGTTTACGCAAGCAGATATTAAACTTTTGAAAAGCTATTCAACTGTAAGAATAAGTAAATAGTATGAAACAAATGTAGTCCGTGTGCCGGCAGTTATTTTTTTTCTATCAAAAGTTTATGTGTTGGCGCTCCATGGAAGTCGAAGGTAAAAGTAAGCATACTGTATATTTTCTTTACTTCTTTGATAAATTTATTTTTTTATTATTTTGCAGCCAATAATTCCTTAGGCGATATCTATGCAACAGCCGGAATGAAAGGAACAAACAGCAAACTTTAAAAATAAATAAGCATAAATTTGCTTTTATTACAACAGTAACAAATAGAGTTTGTTTTATTCTATTAATAATAAAATTTAACTTTCAATATACTGAGAAAATTACCAATGAAGGCTTGTTACGGGCTGGGAAGGGAAGAGTCGTGCTGTAGATAATAAAAGTTATTACTGTAAAATTGTTATTTCTTTAATAAAAACAAATTATTAAAACTTTTTTATGATCATTACGCCTTACAAATAATTATATTACAGAATTCCTATATTTTTGTTCGCGAATAATTCTATGCATCTGCTGGGCGATTTCAAGTTCTCGTTCGAGTTTTAAAATCTATTGAAGAGTCTTCTTTTAGTTATGATATATACTATATATATGAAATATAACTTTTTACTTATTAGTTAAACGATACATTTTAAAAAAAAGTTAATGAGGGCATCAGTAGAATTAGTAATATTGGATAAAGCTAAAAAAAAACAACCATAATATGAAAATATCACTGTAACATTAAGTAAAATACGGAAAAAGATCAAAAAAAGCAAGTGAGAAATCTTTATATCTTGCAATCAATAATTCTATATAATAATACGTTTTCAAAATAAAAAAACTAAGTGTAATGAATAATTAAAGAAAGGAGTTAATAGAGATGATATCATTTTACAATAAAAAAATAACTATAAAGAAAATTATCGATAGTATGTTAATAATAAAAATAATAAATAATAAACAGAAGATAAAAGATATATATTAATAATTTATAAATTAAAATCTTTTAATAACAAACAATTCTTAGTTAGATTAAATATGAACATATTAACAATAAATAGTAATTAAATTTCTTAGAAGTGAATAATATATATATATTATCAAATAACGGTTTAAGAGAAGTAAATATTCTACATAATAGAAAATATTGAACATTTCTACCAGTAATAATTATAAATAAATAAAACTTTAGCATGCGCCTCCACTTCAAGAGCGTTTTTCTGCGTCTCCGTCATGGACGCAAAATCTAAGTTATTTTGGCCCATACTATTGTATGAACTTTTAATTGTGTTCGTTAGCTCTTCTGTAGCATTTTGTAAGGCCTTTCCCGTAATTTGTAGCATTTTTTGAGAGCTCTTTAATAGGTTGAAAGAAGTTAGTAACCACTATTTAGTAGTTAAGCGAATAGAATATAACTTTATCCAGATTTTTCACACCTGACGCTGTTATTACGTGTATGGCCGAACTATTAATATCGCTTGCAAGAACTCGAAAAAGATCGATTTTACTGTTGTCTTTGCTATCTAATGTAATAATAATATTAATAGTAATAATAATAATAATAATATTAATAGTAATAATAATAATAATAATAATAATAATAATAATAATAATAATAATAATAATAATAATAATAATAATAATAATAATAATAATAATGATAATAATAGTAAACCATCCAGAATAATATCCTTAGCCAAAAGTAGTATTTCCTGAGCGTTGTTTGCCACGTGGGTAGCGGCAGAAACAAGTCCGTCAGACCACGTACCATTGTCAAAGTATCTTTATTATTATTATTAATATTATTATTATATTATTGCGAACTTCCATGTAACAACTTTTTTCTTTGTTTTGCGTTGTCTTCGGACTGCGAATCAATTTTTTCCTGGCACACGCTGGCAGCGTCAACGAACTCTTGAGCAGTTTCTATTATTCCTTCCACATTGGATAACTTACCACAAATAATAAGTAGAAAATATTGTATAAAAGGTTAGAGCACAACAAAAAATAATACATTTTAGCTAAAATGCGAAAATAAATGGAGTTTTGCTGACAAGATTTTTTACTGATTACGGCGACGAAGTAAAAACACTCGGTAGCATAAACACTTTAGCAAAAACAATAAAAATGTTTGGTACAGATTATTCATGATTGCCCCTAATGAAAGCTAGTAAACGTTGGGCGCCATCAAGTGGTTACTTGTAAGCATTTTGGAAGTTTAGACAATTCTAATATTTGAATTTACCAAAATTTTATGATCTTCAGACACTCCGGGATTGACGCTTTTAAATTCTTGAAATTCCTGGAAAACACGCGTTATCTTATCATTGCCTTCACGTAACCGTTGTTCCTTATAAATAATAATTATAATAATAGTAATAGCAATAGTAAATATAATAGTAATAGTAATAGTAATAATAATAATAATGATAATAATAATAACAATAATAACAATAATAATAATAATAATAAATACTCTTTCTTGTAAGGCGGCGAGTTGCTTTTGCTCCTTTTCTTCTTCTTTTATTTGTTGTTCTTTTAAGTAGCTCAGTTGTGAATTTTTGGCGGAGTCTATTTTGTTAAGAAGAGACTCGACGTTCCCTGGAGTTTATAAGTTATTAATAAATATTAAAAAATAATAAATTACTAAAAAACTTATTTTTTGAAGAAATAAATACTTAAGGTATTATTAATAGAAATTATATATAATATTTTATTAAAAATAATTTTTTAAAATTTTCTTTAAGGTTACTATAAATTCAATAAATAGAATACAATATTAATAACGTTAACGTTCCCTCTTTTGCATTCTAAATAAATTTTATAAATTATAATTAATGAATATAATAAAATTATGATAAGTGGAATAATTTTACTAATTACTTTGTAGATTAAAAAAAATGATAACTGTCAATAATAATTAAGCTAATAGTAGATAAATATAATAAAAAACTAAATATTTTTTATAGTAATAAAAACCTCGTGGTTTCTTAATGGTAATATAATTAATATAAATAATAATTAATATAAAAAAACTACTATAAAAAAGTTTTTTACTATAAATAATATATAAGCCTTAATGCTTAATAAATTATTAAAAAAAAATAATAATTTAAGGAATAATAAAATAATAGATATTAAATATTTTTTATATATTCAATACTTCAAAAGAAATAAAAAATTAGTACCAATAACTTTTTTTGAGTGCGGAGAGAAAACTTTTTTTAAGTCTTTCTTATCGACGTCCTTACAATTCTGCAGGCATCCGAGCAGTTCTTGGCTAGCCGATAGAAGAGATAACATCGATGTGTATATGGACTCTTGAATATTTATATATTTGTACAAAGACATATATAAAAATAATATTTATTATAAACATACAAAGTAGTAAAAAAATTCTTTGGTTTCCTATATAAAATAATAAAAAAATATATATTTTATAAACTTAGACTTTTACTAAAATATTTGAAGTACATAAATAATGTAAACCACTATACTATCGATAATTACTTGTTTAATGAGATACGTAAAAAAATTATAATAATAATACTTACTGGAAAAATAAAAATTTTAATTAGTATTATAATATTAATAACATTAACAATATACTAAATTAAAAATGTACAAGAAATATAAAAATTACTTATAAAGAAAGAATTATATATAATAATAAGTACTTTTAAAAAAAATTATTAATAGTAAATAAGAAACTTTTATCATCAGAAAACGTTAAAGCTGAGGAAAAGTGAATCCCATCCAACACACAACCCTGAGTGGCTGCTGCCAAACAGTTCAGGTCTTCTTGGAGATTCTCAAATTTGCTTTTATAAATATTTCTTTTTTTTATTGTTAATTTTTAAGGAGACCTTTTAGTAAAAATAATGAAAAAAAAATAACTTGAGTAGCGCTTTCGTGCATTCAGTCATTTCTTGGAAACTTTGGACAAAAGCAGAAGAGTTTGCTTCAAAGGAGTCAACAGAAGAGACATGAGAAGAGGTGTTTTGTGATTCGTCAGCAATTTTCATTTCAAGATATTTATGGCGCGCTAATACATTAGTTACAATGAAAATTTGTTAGCGGTTCAACAATTAACTTTAAAAAATATTGAAGATGGCCAGTAAAAATTATTATAATTTACTCATGCACTAAAAATTATAACAAAAATTATTAATAATCTCTATTTTATTGATCGCGATTAATAAAAAACTCGCTCCAAATTATATAGAAATTTAAAGAGTTTAATTTAAAAAAATAATAAAATTTATAAAAAAATTAATACATAAGATGCTGTGAATAGTTTTTTCTAACGCTTCCGGCTGCTTAAATTGAGAGGAGTTCGTCGATTCTATAATAATAATAATAATAATAATAATAATAATAATAATAATAATAATAATAATAATAATAATAATAATAATAATAATAATAATAATATAGTTAGAAAAATAATAATCGCCTGAAGAAGCGGATGTGGTGTCTGGAGTGCTTGAAGAATCCGAAGGTGAAGATTTTTGGACTTCCGGCCCTTTATCGTCTCGTGTTGTTCCCAATACGCTAAATTAAAACAGCATTTTTTTTTAATAAACTCAAAGAAAATAGTATAAATAATAAATAAAAATCAAAAAGTTCAAGAATAAGTAAAAAAATTCCAAAGTTTATAGTAATAAATAATAAGTTCTTAAAAATTGTAAAAACCTGTTTATTAAAAAGTAAAATAAAAGGAGATATTATTAAAAAATTGTTCATTAGAAACACAAATAAAATAATAATTATTGTTATCTAAAAATATTTATAGTAAAAAATATTGCATTTAAAATATTAAGTTTTCTGAATAAAAAGTTGAGCGAATTCATAGAAGTGTGTAAAAGTTTTTATACTTTTTCTATAGGCAGGTACGCTCGCAAAACATGACCCTCCAATGAGACAATTTATAAAAATATTACTAAACGTAAATTTTCCCCCTCAACCGATCGATTTGTATTGTAAAACTAGTATTTTTTCAGTGATAACATTTTACAAGAGGGAAAAAAAATAAAAGTAAATAAACTTTTTACAATTTATAACATTTGGAAAGTTTACTATAGATGTTAAAATCAGTAAAATACTTTAATAAACTTTATAGAAGAGAAAGTACATAAAAGCAATATTATTTATAATCTAAAAAGTAAATATCAAAACTCGTAATATTCTTTACAAACTTTTCAAAATTCTTTTTTCCAGTAAAAATAAAGTTTTACTAAAACATTATAACAATATATAGTAACCATTTTTGCAAAATATATAAATAAACTGGTAATAATTAGTATAAATAAAATTATTATAAATACGATGAAATTTTATAAGACGAAATTTGAGCGAAGAAGGCAGCAACGTTCTGCAAAGATTCATAACCGACTTGAAAGAATTCCAGTTGCTATAAAAATAATAAAACCAATATTTTAGTAGAAATTTGTAGATGGAACTTAGTTTATAATATATTATCAATTTAAGTTGAATTTTATTAATACTTTAATAAAAAAAATTCGCCTTGTGAGTTTATTATATAATAAAATTCATTTTTCCCATTCATTTTACCATTTATTATATAAATAATAGCTTAGTGGAAAAATTTGGTTAAAATAGTATATATGTTTTAATAACTATTTACAGAGTCGTTTAACAATATATTTTTTTTAAACTTTTAGGCAACCCTAATTAAGTTTATAGAACTTCTTATTAATATTTTTAAATAGCTTAAACTAGTGAGTAAACATAATTATTAACATAGTTTACTATATTATTATAAGCCGTAACAACTTTCTTTGTTTAATAATAAAAAATTATACCAAACTAATAAAAGTGAATAAAACAAGCATCTGGTCTTCTTCCATTTCGTAAAAAAAGTGCTCCATCTGCTTTTGAGCAGAACATGCGCTCTCAGTGAGATTCTGTAGACATATTTTAATTGTTATAATGACCAATTAGATGAACAATATGGTGGTAAGAAGGTAATGCCTCCTGAAGTTTTGCGGCCTTATCATTGTAGTGCTGGACGACAGAAGGGTCGAAGTGGTTAAGATCGTGCAAAGCCTAGTAATAATGAAAATTTGTAATATCACTTTTTATATTTTAATTGTAAATTATTGATAATTTTATATAATATTTTGAGTAATTTTTATTTTTATATTTCTTTCATGATTTCATAATTTCATAATAAATTTATAAAAAAAATATTAACTATAAAAAATGTAAAAAGGTAATTATCAGAAACCCGACTGTTACACAGCAGCAAGTAGTATATATGCTATAGCAAACAAATTTAGCACTAAAATAATTTAACAACTGGTATCTTAATATATGAAAAAGCTTTAATATATTGGCGGAGCTCGAATAAACATTCTTTGCAGCTAATAGAATTTTTCTTGGTATTCAAATTGAGATACAAAATAATTAAAAACAGATTATTAACGGTGCAAATAGTAGTATAATTCGCTGCAAAATGTTATTGGTTTTAGCCTATATAATATAAATGAAGTTAACACTACACCGCGCCCGAAACTCATATAGCCAACCAAATAAAGAGAAAAACACAACCATGTGAGTGCCAAGTTTTATGAAATGAATAAAAAAATTATTCAATTTGTTCTTTAATGTATATAAAAAATAATAATAATATTGGCCGCACTCTGACGCCCTTTCCTTTTTGGGAATCGAGATAGAGCCTGTCTCGTTCTATTTTTTGTAAGTTCCTTTTGAGCATGTTTAACTCTTTGGATAGCAAAGACATCGGCTTGATATAGCTTTTTTCGCACTCGCCTGTTTATAGCAAATAATGAAGGTTTCTCTGGTGTTTGATTTGTGATTGGCTACTTAGACACCTTGAAAACGCATCCATGCATGAATAATCTCTTTCTGCGCATCTGCTGCTGCCAGATACCTTATAATATAATAATAATAATAATAATAATAATAATAATAATAATAATAATAATAATAATAATAATAATAATAATAATAATAATAATAATAATAATAATAATAATAATAATAATAACAAAAAACATTGAGCCGAGAGAGGTAGACTCGCCGATGCCTTCGCCAATGGCTGCCATACTTTCTGCCATTTTATACTGATCCTACGATTGATCATTTATATTATGTATTCATGGAGTTCGTAAAAGATTTATTGCAAATTATACAAACTGCTACGCTACACCATAAAAACCATTAAAAAAATAGTTATTATGTTAGTTTATGAAAGATTTATTGAAACCATATGATATTGATATAATGATAAAAAGAAGAGTTATTTAAAAAAAAAAAATAGTTAATAGTACTTTACGTAAATAAAAAGATAACAAAATGTATTTTTTATATACATTTCATGTGAGCGATAGTAACTTTATATAAGTTTTACAAAAAATATATAAAGGCAGATAATAGATATACACAACTTTTAGAGATTGTGAACTCTTCATAATAATAAAAAGCACACAAAAAGTGATATATATTTATTATTGTTTATACTTATATCATTATTAGTAGTATTCTCAAAAATATTCTTTGTTATAATAATGATGTATATTATCCGTACTAAGAAACCATTCAATATTTATTAAATAAAAACAAGAGTATTTCATAATTATTTAGTTTATAACCATACAACAATTATTTAATATTATTATGTAAAGCTGAAGTTTATACGGTTGTTAAGCGTAATACAATAAAGTATCGTGACTTATAAAATCACGATGTTTGCAATAAATTCTATACAGTACCTGATATAGCTAATTAGCGTTGTTACAGTTTTAAAGCAGTCAATAAACAAAAATAATAAATATAAAAATAGTCGCGTGTAATAAATACTTAGAAACAATTTCTTTTTACAGTCCATGTTTTACACGTGTTTTGTGTTATTAGATAATAATTTTGTTTAATGTTTGTTATAACGGCGGAAATTACTATTAATAGTTAAGTATTTACCGGCCCATTAAGTATAGTTCACTGAGAAAAAATTTTCCTATTTAAAATTTTTTACTTAAATAAAAATAAAAGCAAAGAGTACAACACAAATGTTAATATATAGAACTCTACGCTTCTCATAACATTTCAATCTGTTTATATCAAAAGTATTACATTTTTCATATTTATTTATATATAATTTTTTGACCAACATTTTTTAAATACAAGAAATTTAGTAGTTTTTATATTTTTAATGTAATAAGTAAGCATAATAATAATTTATGCAATTTTTCGAAAATGCTTAATAAACAGTGCGTGTAGTGTTCTTCTATATTTACTATAAACTATATTATTATATATAAGAAAGACAAACTTTACAGCTGTCACTGGTATTTTTTAAAAATTTATAATCCTCGTAGCTTTCTTTATATATCACAACAATATTTACGTGCTACTAACTAAAAACTATATTTTTACACTGTTTTACAATATTTCTCGATCAAAAAAAAATTAAAAAAAGGAAAGATAGAGAAGTTAATGTTTTTCTTTATAAATTAATTTATATAACAAAAAAAAATTATATTTTTTTAGATTACTTAAAAGTTTAATCAATATTTAATATAAATAAAATATCCTTTAGAAAATTGACTCCCACGTGGAGAGCACAGAGTGTAAGGACGCCACGCAGTCAAACATACACGGGACATTGTGGTTAAAAAATTTCCATGCTTCCTTATCAGTTTATGAATTTTTTTATTGGTTAGAGTCCATGTGTCTATCACGTAGTAGAGCACATAGCGCACAAAAATAAATTTTACTTTAGCTTTAAAAATTTTCGTTTTTATCATGAAGTAAAAATGAAAATATAAAAAATGCATAAACATTTAAAAAAGTTCTCTTCAGCTGTTAAAAATATATTTTAGCGAGAAAAAGGTAAATATTAGATGCAAAAATATAAAATTTTCGAGTACATATTGAAAATACTCAATACCGTTAAACATATAAAAAAAAAGTACTAACACAAAAACGATTTTACTATAACTAATAAATACAAATATATTTTTTTTCATTATTATATTTATGAATTTAATAATTAAAACGGCCCTTTGGTTCAATACTTTAGAAATGACTATTTTTATGGTTTCACTTTTTTTTAAAGTCGTCATTTTTAAGACCGAACGGCTCATAAAAAGCCTTGAAAAAAAGGGGAAGTATAAATAGTAATGCTTTTACTTGAGATTTTAAGGAATTAGCATCGACAATCCCGAGTTTTCCGTAAACAGTTCTATAGAAAATATTATAAAGTAAGAAATAGAAAAAGAATAAGTAAAAAACTTTCTTAATAGTAATAGATTTAAAAAAAAAATTAAATATTTTCTTAATAAATTCTAACAATTGATTTATAAGAGTACAAGTAAATATATTATAAAAGTTTTATAAAACTTGGGAGTTACGGATGCGCTTTTAGGGGACTAGTAATTTTAGTTATACTTTTATATGCTGTAATTCTAAAAGCTTAACACTCGCCTATACGAAAAGATAACTAATTTTTAATAAAGAATAACTGAAAATATGACCCGCGCAAAAAATTAATTTTTTCCCGTATAAACATTTTCCATCTTATTAGTAATTTAATAATTTTAAAAGGAGGAAAAAAGGAATTTAGAGTATTATTTTTTTATATTATAACAAAAAAGTTCTGATATAATGCAAAGCTTTTATTTAAGGAATTACAAATAGAAACTGCTGTAATTTATTTTAAATATTAGTAAAACTCAATAAGATGAAATTTTGAAGAAAAGAAATATAATATATTGAGGGTTATAGAAGTCATAAAAATAAAGCGATATAAATTAAAAAGCAAATAATTGATATAACTAATTATTTTTTTATAAAGATAGTTATAGTTAACTTAATTAAAAAAAGGATTATTAATTTTTTATAAACGTTAATAATTTGAAAATGAATAACTTTTTTAGTCGATCACCCGATTTGGGCGTCAAGTAGTAATCAAGAGCCTCGTTCATGTGCCGAAAGTTTTTTTCCATGGAAATGGCCAACTATAAAAGAATAAAATTAAAAAAGATGTGCGTAGATAGCATTTTGAAATTTATTATAAAGAATTATAAATTATTTAAATTGCAATCAATAAAGTTAAGTAAAATAGATTAAAAAAGGAATTTTAGTTCTAAAGAGTAATTATGTCAGTATAGATAAAAGGAAAATTTAATAAATATATTTATAACTTGTTTTTTGCTTTAGTACTGTTGAAATTATTGAACTTGTATATTATAAAATTACAAAGAGGGATATATGGGTAAAAATATTTATAAAAATAAGTAATATTTAAAGGCAGAGAGTTCAGAATTTATATCAAAAAAGAGCAAATATAGGGTTAACAGTCTTTTAAAAGTTTAAATTTTTTTAAACCTCTTGCATTTTATTAAATTCATCGTCAAATTCAGTCTTTCTGGGCTCAGTTTTTTCAGCTTGCTTGCGTTTAAAATTTTCAAGTCTAAGCATATTATAAATAAAAAAAGGGGCATAAATTAAATTGTTTTTTTTGTTCAAAGTTAAAAAAATCTCTTAACATAAATACTTTTAATTCAAAGATAATAGAAATTTATAAAAGTTATAAAAGTAAAGCAGAAGTATATTTTGAGTTCTTAACAGATTTTTACTATATAATAAGTTTTTAAAAACGAGATCTTGGGCAGCTTTGTTACAAAGTGAAGGCCTTAATATTTAGTGCAGCTTATCCTCTTCCTTAACACCCTGATTTTTATTAAATGACTTTTTGTAAGTGGTCAGTTAAGCTCGTAAATATTAAATCTCTTTATTAAATGAATAGTTAACAACCATTTTTTATATATATACGGCGTTCTTTAAAAAGAGCTCCTTGGGAACACCAACCTGACAATGATTACAGTTTAAACACGAGACCGTGTCGATATTGTGTTAAGGTCTATAAAGCTAGAGTAGAGGCTGCACGCTTTTGCATGTTTATTAGGTTTAAATACTTTGTTATACTCTACGAAGCACTAATGCATTACATAAGTTTTTCAAAGGACGAAAAAGATTTAATATAGTAATTCTACTTTTATAACTATAAAAATAAGAGAAATATAGCAATACTACTTTAAGAACGGAGATAACTCTCAAGCTTTGAGGTTATTCTAACTTCAAAAGGTTAATTTGAAAGTTTATACTTAAATTATAATTTATGCAACAATTATAAATTTCATGGTATAGTTTTTTAATAGAATTAAGCTATTGAAAAAAATTGCATATATTTTAACTTTTTAATGTAATGAAACAATTATAAGTTTAAGTTCGATAGGTTGATATGTAAGATAACCTTTTGTGAAGAAAGTGTTGTTTACTCCGGTACATTGACATGTCTACTTCATATACTCCAACTGCATTAGAAATATAAAAAAATTAAAAAATAATTAAAAAGGGCATTAATTAAAGGTAAATTGTTTATTATAGGCCCAACTTTTTTGTATGTAATCATATATAAAGTAATAATAACTCTAAAGAAAAAAGAACTGTTCCAAATGTGAAGCTACAGAAAAGAAAGAAAGTGGGCGTATTTATAGTTTTTGTGATGAAAAACTCACTTATAATATGCTTTTAAAACCAAAAGAACCGTACAACTCTCTATCATCGTTTATATATAGAACATTAAAAATTTTAATAAACTATAAATCACAAAATAAGAATACGATAACTAAAGGGAATGCTGATTGGATTAAACATATTATTCATACCCAATAATTTAGTTTTTATTTTAATTGGTTTCCAATAAATTGTTTAGTTTTTTTTCATGGTCTTTAATCATGTTTCGTTTAAACACCCATTCATTTAGTAGTGGCTTGTACTTAGCACGTTAGAACCAATTCGATTAGTTATTATGTCAATAATATTGCCCAGCCTTAAACGGCGTACGTGCTCGACAGATTACAATCTGAGGGGTTGTTGCACGGAGTAATTCAATGGAATAAAGATTCTATCCTCCCCTTTACTATTGTTAATTTGGGTGCATACTAAAATCATAAAAATTATGCTAAGCGGGAGTTTAAAAAATTGACGCAATTTTAAAAAGCGACTAAAAAATTAATGCACCTTTAGTTGGTAAGATATTATTTTTCTTTATGGCCCAGCATTGACTTTTTAAGTAAAAAAAGTGTTAATTACAATCACTCAGCTGAATTAGCACATTTTAAGGGAAGCTATAAGAATATTTAGTTATTAAAATCTTAATAACTACACTAAAACGGGTTTTTTTTTTATTAGTTCTGCGGCTCAGATAAAAAGGCTATAAGCGGAGGGGAGTGCTTAAAGTTTTCTTAAAACATTATTTGTAAGTCATTTCATGTGGGTCACTAACTCTTACATTAAATTGTAGTAATTATTTTTTAATACATGTTTATGTCAAATAATATGATTTCGCTGCAATACGACATATAATACCATTTAGGAGTAGTCTTTTATTAATAAAGTAAATGTACATGTTAGGTATCTAAACCTTTAAGCCCTTTGAAACGAGTACAAGTAGACATGAGGCAAATATGTAAGGACGCCAACAAAAAAGGCAATTTACTATAAATAAATTGGATAAAACTGATTTAATTATTAATAAATCTGCGCAGAAAACCGGGTTAAACTTTATTAATTTGAAGCAAACTAAAACAAGGCGTTAAGCAGCGGTTTCGTGCTCTATCCTAGATAATCTAAAGAATTTGAGCTCATCAGGCTGAATTTATTAGCCAATGGGGTTGCCCAACCTTTAACAAAAATGTAAAATTTGGTTTCTTTTTTTGTAAAGACAAGAGGATGTATTTATGCTTGTGCTTCGTAATATAAAAAGGTTACCAAATCATTGTTAATGTCTGTCAATAAATATAATAATTGCCTAAATATGGCAAGTTGCATTAATAATTATGAACAGGGATCTTTTTTTTGGCTGTATACAAGCTGTAAGGTTATTTTTTACGTGTTTACTTGGAGCCCTATATAAAAGATATGAATTACTAATTGCTGCTTAACTATTTAGGTTATTCAGGTTTTTGTCACTACCAATATTCTCTCCTATTAAGATTGGTTAAACACTTTTTTATATTATTAGTCAAGCGGTCAATCAAGGGACCTATAGTTAAGCTTATAAGCACCCAATAAGATTATTTATATTTTGCGGAGCACCGCTTTTAGTTAGTTTGTGGGTCAATAACCCCACTGGTCCTAAGCTGATCTCGGGTGCGAACGTATAGCAATTCAGTAAACCACTTTTCCTCTCTTATAACACCCTAGTTATAGGTGCTACAGTTTAACTTTAAGATTACGCGCGGAGGGAGCTAGAATTACACAAGGAAGTTATTTTTAAAGAATAAATTCTATATAAAAAATCTATGTAAAAAAGTATATTAAAGCAAGGATTGACTTATGTACCAGTCTGTCTTTATTTATACCTTTACAAAAGTCGAAATATGCTTCCATATATGTACGATAAATTTAATTGAATAGATAAAAATTTATTTGTTAAGTTTGTATCCAATTAATCAGGTAGGTCCAATTAAATTTTTGTGTTAAAATAATATCTCTTTTCTGGTATTTTTATTAATTGTCTCCAGGTTTCTGATTGGATTAATCAAGGATCGTTTTCTTGTGAAAGGGTTAGTGCTTTGTATTTGTGCATATTATATGGTTGTGTACTTTTTACTTAGTGTTATGCAATATGTTTTTGTATTCTGTTTATTTGTTTTCTTATAAGTGTTTTGTGTTTTCCATATATTGTGTATTTTAGGTTTCGTGTTTTAATTTGTGTCTTTGGTGTTACGAATACCATACTATTGTGGTATAATCCCAGTAATTTTATGACTTTAAGGGTGGGTTTAATAATAAGCTAATAAAATAACTTTCTCATCATCGTCGCATTTATTGCAATTGTACCACAGAAAAATGTGGCACCAATTTCATTTATCGTAAGGGCTGTATTAAATGACAAAGAACTTTGACTAGCGAGCAGGTTGCCAAGTATAAGATATTTTGAAGTTCTTTATTTTGCATTGTTCTTATAATTTAAAAATGAAATTGCGTTAAAATTTACTTAACAACATAGATTTTATATAGTAGAATATTCGTAACTCGAAAAAAGAGTGCATAGGTTTTAGTCAGTTGCGAAGTGACATAGAAGCAAAAACTTTAGAATAGTGGCTATGAGCACAGCAGTTCATTTTATATTACTGTAGCAAAAGTTATTATTTTATATCAAAAAGTGTCTAACCTACAGCTTAAGCTTTATAAATAACTGTTTTAATGGTAAAACTTAAAATTTTATAATGTTAAGGCATAATAGTCAGCACAAAATAACTTGTAGTTCGGTTCAGTCTTTCACAAGAACGTTGTTGTCCACCAACTTCTATGTTTCGCAAAGCTTTTCTCCAAGTTTTATACACTTGACTTCGGTTTATAATTTAAAAATTATAATTGCGATTGACCAAATAATTTTAAAAATTCGAGATAATTGAACTAATAATAAGGAAAAGTCACTATTATTTATAAAATTTCGAACTTTAAACTACAGACAAAATTGTTTTACCTAATAAACATTTTTTAATACTTAAATATGAATTAACTAATATTAAAACTTTGCAGCCATTTTATTTTCATTATTTTTATCAAAGTAATAACTTGGTTATGTATGATAGTAAACTATTTATACAATTCAACAACAAAGGCTGATTTAAAATATGAATTAAACCTTCCCGCACGTCATGTCAATTTCATCTAAATTTTATGATTGCCAGACAATTAGTAAAAAATAAACTTACTTATATTCAAAGTAACCTCATTAAAGTTAAGAGTCCCGGGATATATAACCTTAATGCAGTAATGCATCGTAAGTGTACGGTTTTCATTACAAAAGCGTACAAAAAATGGAATAGTCAGAGGGCAAATACGAGAGAAGGGTTGATTTATTCGGGGTCGTCAAGCATTGATAACTTCACAAAAGAATAAATTTTTATTTATTTATGTATACTTCAATAGAGCTGATGTAGAATATAGCAAACAATTAAAATTTAAAATTTTGGTTCTATGTAAAAACTATATTTGCTAATAGCTACTAAAACTTAAGTATGGTTATGTTTTTCTAAATAAGGTTGTTTCTACAGTTGTTTTCTGGTTTAGCTCTATCGAATATTCAAGAATATAAGTAGCAGTACTACCAATATTTAATTTCTGAATGCCCTTATAGCAAATCTTTTCTTAAAACTGTTAGAAATGTGCAATGCCAAAACGTGGGCGCCCAACTAGGGGGACAGAATTCATTTATTAAAATATCGAAATAAAACAAAAACTGTACCGAGTAGAAAAGATATGGGCCGAACCAAAAACTTCTACTGATTGCTTTGCATACCTTTGAAAGATATTTGCCTCGGGCAAGCACGTAACAGAGGCTATATACGTTTTATTAGCAATTAAACATTACAAACTCATCCACAAAGTTATATTTCAGCTCAGTGTAAGAATTGTACTTTTTAAATATAAGGACCGTTCCGCTCCCTTTGCCGTTGTATCCCTTGTTGCGATATTAAGTAACTTATTAATAGTAAACTGTCATTTTTTATTTGGGTCTTCCAACTAGAGCAATATAAACATTCCTTACCCTCAATAAACTCGTAAAATTCTCTTATTTAGTTACAGGTGCCATGAGCACTCTAGAAATTTTTTTTTAGTAGCAAGTGCGAAAACTTTGAGAGTTTATATTGTGCAAATGAAAATAAGCTGAGGATGTTTACTTCAAGCATGATCTTTGTATTTACTAAGGAACTATTAGTAACCTGCACATCTGACTGTGAGTTTACAGAATTTTCCACATTATTATTTACGGGCTTCGATTTAATATTTATTATTTTCAGGGCTTGCAGCTTGACTTTTAAATTGGCCTCTGTTTTTTGCATGAATAATTTTTAATCTTCGGGACAAATGCACACAGTCTCTGTAGTTACAGTTTGCACATACACACAGTATAGTTTTTAGCTGAGGTACTCGTGGAGGAAATGTTCTCCACCACTTTTAATAAGGCCAACGAAAAAAAGCAAGGAGGAAAAACCGTAAATGAGGAAAAATTGTTGTCCGTTTATTACTCTTAATCTTTCCGTATATACTTTACAAAATTAAATCAAAAATGCAATTTAAAGTTTAAGCACTCACTGAGACGTCCTTATATTAATGTTTCAAATAATATGTCCAGAGTATAATTGGTCATTGGGAGGTTAATTTGTTGGAGTTTTTTTTTTATATTAACATCTAACACAAAGTGGTTTTCCGTACTGTTTTTTTAAGTGGCCATACGACAGACAGTGAGAGCAATGAATCATAGTCCTTTAATTATAAAAATTCAACAGTTACTTTGATTCTACAGAGTGCAGTAATGTCATATTTTTTTGTCAAATTTAGGTATCTTAAGTAAAACAATAGGTATTTTTATAAGTTGTCACTCCTTTCTCAATATCCTCGCTTCAATTAGGTTAAATCCTTAATTTCTTAGGTCTTCAGAAATAAAGCTGCCATCTAATTCTGTCATTGGTCCTCTTATTACTATAAAACACTTATCTTCAAGAAGCTCATAACTATAATATTCGCATATTTTAGCAACAAACTGGTTTCTTTTATTTCGATAATCACTTGAGGAAGAAGGCCATAATTTGATTCCATGGGACACATTAGTGGCTATGCTTAAATCGAAATGGTTCTTTAAAAGTTCCTTATTGATATTTTGTCATAGTTCTTTCTTTCTAATAAATAAGGGGGTTGAGTCTTCCTTCTTTGCTGTCTAGTTTTTTATCTGCTTTTAAAAAGTATCCGTCTTATGGTGCATTCTCAAAGAATTGGAAGTAAAAATTTCAACTTTTTCAGTTGACATAGAAACACCTTCAATCTTGTTGTCAGAATTAGTTGTATCAGTCAAGGAAATTTGAAACGGCTCTGTGCTTCTTTTCTTATTTCTTTTAATTTTTTTTCTTTCTAATAACTACCAGTTATCAACTCGAAAAAATTCCGTTTACCTTTTTAGCGTATTGTTCTCCTTTCTCAGAGTTGTACTCTCTAATTCGAGAATTGAAATAAACATACAAAATGTGTTCTTTAACAGGTTAAATACGTAAAAAATCATCGAGAGCTGTCGTAGTAGCTCCGCGGTTTAAAGCATTGATGCGCAAACACAAGATCGTGGATTCAAAAAAAATGCAAATGTCTACAAAATTTGTGTAGTTTAACTGAGAACCTTTTATAAATTATATAAAAAGGCTCAATTTAATTTTTATAGCAATATGTCTAAACTATTTTTGTTAATGAATATTATTTAAGCATACGTCACTTGTACCTATGTCATATAAAAGCAGGAGATAATATACTATTTACTTTTTTATAAAATCCAAGCTTATTCAAGCAAACTAGTTTCTTTTCTCACTACTAATTTCCTGCATGTCAACAAAGTGTGTTTTGTATGCAAGCAACCCTTGTAAGCTTAAGCGAATTCCACGCATGTCGCATTGTACTCCTTATTTAGTAAAGCAAGCGTAGCTTACCACCCTCGTGCACGTCTTTGTACAACTTTTAAGCTTTAATTTAACATAAGCGATATCGTGTTGTTTTTGTAACGTTACCCTTTTAATGTATTTTTGTTAGAGGTTATAAGCATCGGAGATGGCCTTTATATATAATTTTCGCTTAATGACCCATTTACCACCTTCTTTATCTAAGCGCCACAACCCTTTTCGCTTTTCAATTCCTATTAAAGCGTTTAGAAAAATTTCATATTGGAATGAAATTAATTTACCGAGGATGCAAGCTGAAGCTGACGCACAGCCTCTTAATTCGAAGAAACAATATGTATTATTGAGCCATTTGAATGCTAAAGGAGGATTTGATGATGTTATTATTTATTCTCTAGCCAAATTAAGATTTTTTATGTAGCTAGTTTAAATAAAATTTAATATTAATTATAAATTTCTTATTAAATATTTTAATTTTTATATTTGTTCGTAAGATTTACTTCAGTTTATTTTAATTTACTTTATATAACGCTTTATTATTATTAATACGTGCTCTTTGTATAACGTTTTTTATTTATTTCTTTTTAGTTTTAGTATTTTTAGGCTCATTTGTTAAATTTACTTTTTTTCTATTAAGCTTATAAAAAAGCTTTTTATAATATAATATAATTTATTACCTCTTTGCGCATCTTTGCCTTAGACTTTTTATAGTACGTCTATTTTTTATAAATAATTAAATATTTACGTTTAAGGTTTTTTTTTGTATTTTCTTCGAACAGGTTATTTCACGTGTAGAAAGTGGTAAATTTGCCATTGATGATTCTGGAACAAAGGAATACTTAAAAGCCTTAGTGGCCACTGATAAAATTAATAATCTTGATCTTCAGAATTTAAGTTTGTCTACTTAACTTTTTTATATATTTTTATATATATTTAACTTTTAATTTCAGTGAGGAGTGTACACAGCTTTAAGGAAGTTCCCAATAAAGAACTGGAACGGACCAGATTAACTTCATCTTCTAGCAATCCTGTTCCAGTCACACTTTCTAAGCCGATTATTGTTGCCATGCAAGAGCCAACTTTTCTTTCTCAAGTTTGGAAGGTAAATTTTAATTCTTTTTTCTGAAAACTCTTTAACAAATTCTATCTTTGAATTTAGGTTATTAGAATTGCCGTGTTCAGTATTATTGGATTTTCTGCTTTAAGTGCACTGTTAGAGGAAAAAGGCTTGGGAAAAGGTTTTTTTTTTGAATATCTTTTTAAATATATTCAAAATATCTAAGTGTTTGATGTATAAATCGAGGCGTTTCCTTACATTCTGAGATCGAGCCGCAAGCTCAGAAACGGAAGTAAATTTTATATTATATTTTTGGTTCATAAATTAAAATACATTATAAAGCAGTAGTAGTGGTAATTTTTTTTTATTTGTTATCGTAGTCAACTAAATGACTAATTTTTATAAACAAAGTTTTTGAGATTTATAATATGTTTTCTATTAAAGATATAAATTTGAAGATGTTCGTGGCGTTGATGAGGCTAAAGAAGATTTAGAGGAAATTGTGGAATTTTTGAAAAATCCCGAAAGATTTACTCGTTTAGGAGGGAAACTGCCTAAAGGTTTTTTTTTAGCTGCTTAAAGTTTTTACTCGTGATTGTGGAACTTTTTTTTTTTAATATCTACTTTTATTTTTTTATAATACATATATTATTTAGAATTATTTTTTAAAGGACTGAAGTTTACTTTTGAATGTTTTTTTTTATAAAAGTATGACTGTGTGTTACGGGTAGTTGCTTCTAAAATTGGCATATTCAAACTTTATTTGTTCTCTAAAAGCGATTTCCCACCCGAATAGAATTATTATAAACAAAGCACATAAGAATATATTTATTCTAATAGACATAAAGTGTGTCACTTTACATTTCAATTTTTGGTACTTTTTAGTTGACTGGTTTAATAATATTTGCGAGACTTTAGTTACTCATTGTAATATCATTTCTAAAAATTGTCGTTATGTGTAAAAATTGTTTTGTTGCCCTTTAAGTGCAAATAAGCACAAGTTTAACCAGTAAGTTTTATTTTGTTTCTGATTGTAAAACTTTGTATGAAGGTGTACTTTTGATTGGTCCGCCGGGAACAGGAAAAACTTTATTGGCCAGAGCTATTGCTGGAGAGGCCGACGTTCCGTTTTTCTATTGTTCAGGTTTATTATGATGTTTCTTTTTGAACACAAATAACTTGAAGTAACCATTTATACTAAATTGATAATTTTTTATTACAATTTATTGAAATTTAACAACTATAATTGGTATAATTTCTTTTAAATTGGTTAGTAGAATTTTTTCCTTATATATTTTAACAATAGGATAACAGTAATAGTTATTATAAATTTTAATAGGTTAACTTTTATATTATTATTAATACAAACCTTTTTATTGAACACCAAAAAAATAATTTTAATTTATTTATATTAATCTTAAGTAAATTTATATATTAATAATAGTTTTTTAAACTTTTCATATTAATTATGTTGACATTTTTTTTTGAACTAAATATTTAACATTTAATATTTCCTAGTACTTTCTTTAGCTTTCAAGTGTTTTTTTATATAATTATATATAACACAAATGCATAATAATTGTATGTTTATATTATTATTTTACTTATCATAATTATTAGAATCGTAAAGTAATAATAAATATATAAACATATAACTTTTATATAGTAATAAGAATACTAATAGTTGCATTCCTTTTTTTTAATAATATTTTATATATAAAAGTATAACATGATATTATATTAATATGATAATATATAATCAAAGTTAATAATTATTGTATTATAATGTTTGTAGAATTTTACTTGATGTTTATTATTTATATACGAATGCGAAATAATAATTATAATTTTCTGTTAATTACTTTTAACTTTCATAATAATTTTTTTTACTTTAAAAAATTTTGATCGTATAATTATAATTATAAGAAAAGTGTTTTTATATTTTCTTTATTTTATATAAGTTTACTTAATATTATTTATATAATAGATTTATAGTACAAGTTTTACGATATTATATTGCAATATTAAAGTTAACTCTCTAATAATAATTTATTGAATTTTAAAAACTTTAATATTAATTTTTTTATATATAAGAAATCATAATAAGAAAATAATTATTATTGTAATATTGTTTAAAGTTTTTTTTATAAAAGTTAACTTTATTATTATTTTTTATAAGCATTAAAATTTTCTCTAATAATGATTACAAATTAATTAAAAAAAATATTTTTATTATTTTAAATAAAGTAAAGTTTACTTATTATTCGTTTCTTTTATATTTAATATATAATAATTTTTTATAACTTTTTTAATTCAAAGTATATTTGCTTTTATTTTTTAAAATGTTTATTTATACTTAAAATGGTTTATATATATATTTCTTTACTAAATATTTATAATTTTTTTTATAATGCATTTATTCTAATTTTTTTTTATTAAACATAAATTTTTATATTAATTTATATATAAAATTACAGATAAAAAATTAAAGAAATGACTAATGCAGTTTTTATAATCTTTATTTTCCTGACCCAAATTTTTTATAATTTGGCATGTTATAGTAAAGTCTAACCTTTTTAAAAGTTAATATTTTTGGTTAAATCTTTTTACTCATAATTATTTTTAGTTTTATTTACTTTATTTTTTTACGTAATAAAGAAGTTTATTTATAAATGATTCTATAAAATTATAGAAATATATTATACCTTGAAAATTTCTAAAGTCCATTCTGTATATATTATGAAATAGTAAAAAATACTTTTCAAAGAAAACTATATATGCATTTTTTAATAATTTTTATTTTAAGCAAAAAACTTTTACGAGTTAAATTTTTATTAATATTTTTTGAATTAAAAACAAGAATTTTTTTTTAATTTGTATAACGATGATAATTTTTATTGGTAACTAAAAATTATTAATACAATATTATTGTTTTCTTTATTTTTAAATCAACGGTTTTTTTTTACGCATTTCGTTATTATATTAATTTCCTTATATATTAATTAATTGCTATATTTTTTTTCGGAATTTTAATTTTTCTTATTAGTGCACTTTTTCATTATTGACTTTTCTAAACGGCTTTTGTTGTTTTCTTTATTTTCACTGACTTTTTCGGTTAATATTACAGGCTCGGAGTTTGATGAAATGTTTGTTGGGGTTGGTGCTCGACGTGTTCGGGATTTATTTAGTAATATTAATTTTCATATTGCTCGGAGTTTAGCCAATCAACATACCTTATTAATATTAGTGTTTTTTTAGCCAACCAAAATATACCTTAAAGTAATGTAATATGATGCGTTTTTAAATACTTCTTAATGATTTATTGGTTTTTTAATAAATTATTTGACGAATCTTAGCACATTTTGAAGATGTTGAGTAGTTTTTATATGCATAAAATTTTAATGTATACGAATTAACCAATAGTAAATAGCTTTTTTAAGGCTGTAGTAACTTTAAAAAATAATTTAAAGCTACTACTTTTTAAACCTTCACAGATTATTAACTATTTGGTCAAATTTAGCATTTTTGGTCTTATTTGATTACCTGCCAACTTTTTGTTAATACAAGATTTTTAATAAAAAATTTTATTATTATATAAAACGAATAAAAATTTAGTAATTTTTTATATATACATTGTCTATTACAATGTTTTTGTGATTACTATAATTATAAAAGACGCTGCAAAGAAAAAGCAGCCGTGCATTATATTTATTGATGAGATTGATGGGATTGGCGGAGTTAGAAACCCCAAAGACCCCAACTATTGCCAAATGACGTTAAATCAATTATTAGTAGAGATGGACGGGTTTATTATTATTATCATTATTCGAATTCATCTATTTTACCGAACTTTTATTATATGTATATTTTAGTAACTTTTTAGTCTTAACAATTTTTATTTATAATCTTTTATCGCACCAACACGTAAGTTTTGCACAAAACGAAGGTGTCATTGTTATTGGAGCCACAAACTTTCCCGAACTTCTTGATAAAGCTTTGATCCGTCCAGGTTTTTTGTTATTATTGCTGTTGTTTATTATTATTACTTAATATTATTATGATCAGGACGTTTCGATAAGCATGTGAATCTTCCTTTGCCCGACATAAAGGGGCGAATAAAAATTCTTGAAGCTCATATAAAAGATATTCCCGTCTCGGAAGGCAACCACCAATCACCTTTTAAATTAAGCGATTTTTGACCAATAACAATAGATGTTGACTTGTCGACTTTAGCACGAAACACTCATGGTCTTTCTGGCGCCGACTTGGCTAATATTGTGAATCAAGCCGCCCTGAAGGCCTCCGTGGAGGGAAAAAGGTGGGCGTCTTGCAAAGTTATTATTATTATTATTATTATTATTATTATTATTATTATTATTATTATTATTATTATTATTATTATTTTTGTTATTATTTTATATTATGCATTGCTCTTTTCTCTTTTCTTAATTATTATTAAAGCTTTAATTTTTTTTGCTATTATAGTTTATTGAATATATTTTTATTTCGTTATTTTTTTAAAGAACTTTTATTATTATTATTATATTTATTATATATAGCTTTTAATGTTTGTATTGATATAATTTATGGAATATATTTATATAATCTCATAAATAGTAGTAAAAAGTAAATAATAAAAAAATATTTAAATAATAAATAGGATACTTTAATTATTATTATTTTATTTTCAAAGTTTAATCCTTATACTTTATGCTAGTTTATATTGTTATGTGTATCTTTAACTTTTTTTATTATAACTTATATATATATTTATATATTCTATAACAGTTTTATTATTTTATGTATAAAGTTTATCCTTTATACTTTATTCTCTTTTTCTAATAATTATTATATGTAGCTTTATATATGTATTATTATTTATTTAATATATTATGGCAGTACTTATATTTTATTATTAAAGTTTAATTCGTCAAGCGGTATGCTTTCTACTTAATTAATATTATAAATTTTTTTTTCGTATTATTATAATTTATTTATAAGTATGTAATTCTAAAGTACTTTATTTATTATTTTTTAAAAAAGCTTATGCTTTTATTATTTATTATTATTATTATTATATATATAAGCCTTCAATTTTTGGTATCATGATTTATTTTATATAATTATTATCAGTCCTATTTACAAAGGTCTTAACATTTTTTATAATAAATATGTCAACATTATCTTAAAGGGAAGTAGAGATGTACCATTTGGAATACGCGAGAGACAAAATCTTGATGGGCTCCGAAAGGAAATCTTCCGTTATTGAAGAGGCTAACCGCCGCTCCGTGGCTTTTCACGAAAGTACCCGTTAAAATTTTTTGGGTCCCTTTAAGTTATTTTAGTCTCTTATTATTTTATTAGCAATTTTTTGTATTTGTTATTAGTATGATTCAATCATGTCTATCATCTATTATTTTGATTGATTGAGATATTCTATTACCGCAAGTTAGCTGTTTATTTTTTCTAAACTGCAACAATTTCTTATTTTGCAATGTATTATGACACTAATAATCATCAGGCGGGCACGCGCTCGTGGCCATGCTGACTAAAGGCGCTCTGCCCATTCACAAAGCCACAATAATGCCACGTGGAAAAGCGTTGGGGATGGTTTGACCTTTCCATAATAAACATTGACAGGCTGAAAAGTTTTTGTAGATGTTTAAAGATTATTTTAAACTTTTAATAATTTATTTTGTACTAATAAAAAAATGTTGTGTGATTTAAGAGTTATAGCGAATTATAAAAATATAAGGAAATAAGGAAAGTCATTACTTTTTTAGAGGAAATCTTTAATATTATTATTATCATATTGTTTATATATTTATGTTGTAGTTCTTATATAGAAGCATTAAATAGTAATAAAGGGATGTATATATTATCTATATAAACTGTAGTGAATACCTATAAAACTTTATAAAGTTGTTAGTATATTATAAATATTTTTATTTGGGAAAGATTATTATAGTAAACATTCCAATATTTTTTTTTATAAAAAGTCTAATTGTACTCCACTATAACTTAAGTAAAAAAGATTTTAAATATATCACTAAAGTTATTATAGTAAACATGTAGTCCTTCTTTTGATACTATTTATACTTTTATTTATTATTATTTTTCAAAAAGTTTTATTTTTGATACTTTTTTGGTATTTAACAAAATAAAACTTAAAAAATTGAGTTTATTAGTTTTTTTTTATTATAATATTTTTTTTATTTAAATATTTATTATTTTAATGACTTTATAAAAACTTAAAAATATTTATATTATTATTAATTTTTTAAGTAATTATTAAAACTTATATTATATTTTTTAAGAACTTTTAATAAAAAAGATATTTTTTTTAAATAATGTTATATATTTTTTATATAAAAATATTTATTTAAATTATTATTAATTATATAAAATCTTTTTCATATAAATAAATCGAAAAAAAATATTAATATTATGTTTACTTACTTATCTTTTTATTTATTTTTTAAAAAACTTTTTTATATTTAGGCAAAATAAATAAACTTTAAAAACGTGTTATATATTTTTTTATATATTAAAATTTTATTATCTATTTTTTATGAGCTTAAATAATTTATATAATAATTAATCTATTTTTTTTAAATTTATAATAATAAATTAACTATAATATTATTTTTATGTTATGAAGATATTTTATATACTATATACTTATATATTTTTCACTTTATAAAAACTTATATAATAATGAAACAGTTAAGTTTATTGATGATTTATTATAAATATTATATAGATTTAAAATATTTTTTATTCCGATTTTAAGTTTATTCTATTTTTATATATTAGGATTATTTTATTTATTATTTACTTTTAATTACATTTATTATATTTTAAATGCTTTTCAATGTTTTTTCAAATTTCTATTATACATTATTATATATTAGTCATAAAAGTTGCTTTATTACTACTATTATATATATTAACATTTTAGGTACTTTTCTAATGATTAAAAAGTAAAATTATAATTATTAGTATATATTTAGTATAAAATACATAATTATAGTAAAAAAAATAATAAAATGCTTATAATGATATATATTATTTTTTTTAAGAATAATAAATACTACAATAAATAATGAAATTTAATAATTTTAGTTAGTAAATTACTATAAATTTTTGAAGTGTTATTAATAAACAGTTTAAAAATGTATTTTATAATATTTTTTTTTATTTTTTTAAAGTTTATTACTATACTTTATGATTATAATATGTTTAGTACAAAATATATTTAATATTATAATATAAAGTAGAATTATTTTTAGTAATATTTTTATTTATTTAGTTTATTATTTTATAAATTTCTTTAATTTATAATTATTTTATGTATTACTTAAGTATATTTCTTAAAAAATATATTAAATAATATGATGATATAAAGTTTTTAAGTATTTTTTAATATAATGATTTACAATTCATTATAATAATTTTTGCAAATACCTATTTTTCTTGATATATAGAATAATATTACTAAAATTTTCAAAGAATTTTTTGTTCTTAATATTTTACATTTTCTTATAACAATTTTTTTTAAATATATATAAATAAAATAATAAGTTTGCCACTTTTTACTTTTTTTTGTTCATAATTATTTTATTACAATAATTATATTTATTTTTTCTTTATTATTTTTTTTTATAAAATAAGTTTCGTTAGTAAAAATTATTAATACACTCGACAAGTTTTAAAGTTTTCTTAATAATATTATATTTTTTTACGTTTTTACTGATTATTGTATTTTATTTTTTAATTATTACTATTACGCTTATATTATATTTACTTATAAAATAATTATTTATAGTTAAAAAATAGATAATATATTATTTAAAAAAGCTCTGAAGTACTTAATGTTTTATATAGTTTACCTTTTACCTATTTTTTTATGTAAATATTTATTATTAAATTTTTTCATAAATATAATGAATAATAAAAAATTAAAAAATATTTAATATATTATTAAGTTAATACTAATTATTTATATAAAAAGTAAATAAATATAAAAAAAGTTTTAAATTTTTTTTAAAGTTATTTTTTTATAATAGTGTCAAAAAATTTATTATTATTATTTATTAAAATTTTTTTAAAATATTTTTCTATTATTAGTATTTATATTAACTTTACATAAAAGTTTTATTATATTTTTTGTTTAAAATACTTTTTATGTATCTACTATAAGTTTTTATTATAATTATTATTTATATTTCAAAAGTTTTTCTTTGTTTTTTATATTTTGCAGGATATTTATATTAACATCCTATTTTATACAATTTTTTACTTCTGTTTATATAGTATTATATATAAAATATATAATAATAAGTACAATAAGTATAGGTTATGCAACTTCCTGAGAATGATATGCTTAATTGGTCGAAAGAGCAGTTATTGGCCACGTTGGATGTTTGTATGGGCGGAAGAGTTGCGGAAGAGTTTATATTCGGCAAAGAACACGTGTCAACAGGGATATTAATATAATAAATATTAATTGACTTTATTATTATCAGAAAGGGTTATCACTATAGAAATAATAATAATTAAAGTAGTTAATTGAAAGTAATTATATATATAAATAATAATAATAATAGTTTTATAGTTATAATCATATAAATAATTAGAGTAGTTTCTTAAAAGTAATTATTTATATAAGTAATAATAGTAATAGCAGTTATAGTTATAATCATATAAATACTTTGTGGTAGTTAATATTTAATAATAATAATAATAATAATAATAATAATAATAATAATAATAATAATAATAATAATAATAATAATAATAATAATAAAAGGGGCCCATTCTGATATCGAAAAAGCCACGCAAGTCGCGAGGTCGATGGTAATGAAATATGGAATGAGCGAAAAAGTTTATAAACTTTTCATTTATTTTTTATTTAATATTTATATACTGATATCATATTTCTCTTTATTTTCATAATAATTCATTTCACTATTATTATTTTATATACTTTTATCAATATGTTAAGCATAAACTTATTCTTTTATTATATTATTATGCATATACTTTTTGTTAATTTTCATTTTATTGATACATGCGTTCTTTTTCTTTTTTTATTTTTTTTTAATATAGGAAAGTTTATATTATTTAAAGAGAATAATACAAATTTTTTTAGTTGGGTTTAGTCTGCTTTAATGAAGAAACTAATATTAGTAGCGAGACGAAGAAAGTAATTGATTCTGAAATTAAAGCTTTATGCCAGGTAAAGTAATAATAACAATAATAATGATAATAATAATAATAATAATCATTTAGTCTGCTTATGAAAAAGCAAAAAATATAATTAAATCTAACGAACGGCAACTTCATCTAATTGCTGAAGCTCTCTTAGATAAAGAAACTCTATCAGCCGGTATGTATTATTTTTACTACCACTATTATTACTAATTATTATTATTATTTATAATAATAATATTGTTGTTATTAGAAGAGTTATACAGAGTCGTGGGGCTGAAGAATCCAAAAGTCAAAGCTAATGCTTGAAGCAGAAAAGAAATTCGTTAAACTCCTTTTATTTTATAAGCAAAACTTTGTAGTATAGAAAAGTTGTTTTAGAAATTATTAAATAAAGTTATATAATTACTCGTTCATTTTATTTTGGTCGAAAGATTATATTGATTTATTGGCCATCTTTGTAAAAGGCATCTTTTATATCAACAATTTATATAGGAATTTAAAATCTATATATATTCTATTTATTTTTTAAATAGAAGTGCAGATAGTTAAATTCTTTAAATACTTCTAAGTTGAGCTTGAAGGTCACACTTTTATTTGTACTTTTTACTTGAGTTAATTTACTGATCTTTTTTTTGCTCGCTATAAAAATTATTAGTAAATTAATTTATAAAAAATTTAAGTTGGTGTCCTAAATTATTATTATAATTATTGTTTAGAATTTTCTGGTTCTAATATAAAATTCTTGAAAGTAAATTAGTACAACGTCCTTAAGCTTTACCTTATAAAAGGTTTATAAAAAAATAATTAAGAAATGAACGTGTTATAGGAAAATAATAGTATTTCTTTATATATAAATGCTGTTGTGTTCATAATTTTTGAAGAGTTGATCGCTCAAGCTTTACGTCAATTACCTTAAAGTGGTCTTTTTTTAAGTTTTTTTGTCATCAACTTTATTTTTGTAATTTATATTAGGATACCGCCTTCTTTTCTAAACATTTTTAATTTTTTTGGCTATTAAGTTAGAAATTTGTGTTATTGACAATAAATTTAAATAAAACTACTGAAAGATTTTAACTTTTGCGCATATAATAAAGTTCGAATAATTAAATTATACTATTTCTAAAGAAAGGGACGGTTAGAAAGTTCGTTATTTTATTATATTTACATTTATGCGTTTCGTTAATCACTTAGTAGTCTTCCATTTAAAAATTATTTGTTACTAACTTTATAATAACTTTTTTGAATAGAAAACAGTCAGGCTTAATTACTTACAGCAAGAAAAATAAAATAAGTCTACTTATAGATTTTAACTATTGCACATAAAATTAAGTATGAATTATTTTAAAAATTAAAACAATACAAAGAATTAATTGTAACGTTCAGTACTGAAAATATTTATAAATAGCTTTTTACATGATTTTAAAAAAAATATTAAAATTATCAAAGAAATTAAACTTTGAAAATGTTCTGCAACTTACAGTTAGGCATTCTTTTTATTCTACACGATAAAATATTTATACTTTTAATAAAACAATTATACTCCATTCAAAAAACTACTCTGTCGTTCAGTTAGAAAAACTGCAGAAAAGTTGGAACAGTTAAACAGAATTCTTAAATATATAAATATATTAATACTAACGAAAACTTAAAGCTTTTGGCATTATATAAGCGCTTAATAATAACTTGACTTTATATTATTCAAGTTGAAAAGTGTAATTTATTAAAAGAATCAAAGCAAGGGAAATCATACGAGTACAAAATGAAACGTTAATATAAAACGTTTATTGTAATTTTATTCTTGAATTAATATTGGAGGACTTAATATTAAGGGTTTTTTTCAAAATTCAATTAAATAAATCCTTATAACTTTAGAAAGAATTCTTACTGTTATAATTAGTAATTTTTAATTTAAAGAAAACCTTAAAATAAATTTTAACAGTTGACTGGCTTTAACGACTTATATATCGTTCTGAATCTATAACTGAAAAGCTAACAAGTTAGGCCTGGGATAATTGCACACGTACAAAACCTTGGTATCAAAGTTTAACGTTTATATGATTTTTAAACTTTAATTATACCTCGTTTTTGAACTTATATAGGAGAAAACTAATAACACTTTAATATAACAAGTATAAGTTTTTAATAACTTCGTTGGTACCTACCCTTTAAATTTTCAAAGAGGAACTAAGAATTAGCGCTTAGAGCATTTGTACACGTACAAAATACAATGTAAAACATTGATTCAAAAAAGTTTAATTTCTAAATGATTTTAATAACTTTTTTATTATTTATCATTTTGAATTTATAAATGAGGAACTAATTTTTTGCGCTATAAGTTTTATCAGTTTTTTACTTTTAACAAACTTAAGCGAAATTATTGCCACGCGAAATACAAGGGCAGAGTCTAACAGATGGCGAAGGCTACTTTTTATGTGTGCTTTTTATAATCTAGTATGAAGTGTAACAAAAATTATAGATTCCAACCTACATTTAATTGTTATTATAAAAGTTTACTTCATTTTAACTAAATTATTACCAAGTATATTCTTTAACCTTTTACTTTGTTTATAAAAATTTAAGCCTAATATATATTTTTTTAAATATTACTTTCTTACATTTATAATTAGTATTATCTAGTAAATTTAAACCTTTTTTATAATAATAATTTTAAATTGTTCTTTTATATTTAATAATTTTTAAAATCTTATTACAATTTTTTTTATAATTACATTAATAATTTTATAAAACTTCACATGTTTACAGAAATATCAAATTGTTATTATGAATTATATTTTTATATTAAAAGTAATAAAAAATTTTATAATTTTGTTAATATTATTTAGAAGTTATAGTTAAAAATTTTTATTAGTTTATTATTTATTACAATGTCATATATATATAAAAAAGATAAGAACAGTAATATTTTATTAATTAAATAAAAAATAAAGATATCTTATAACAAGTTTACTATATAATTTTTACAATTATTAAAAAAAAGTTCTGTTATTTTATTTGTTTTTAAGAAATTTAATAATAATAATAATAAAATCATAAGAACTGCGCGTATATATAAGTATAGTTTAAAAAATATGAAAAACGTAAGAAACAGTAAAGGATTGGAGAATAAAAGATAAGACGAAATATAGTTCAAATTTTAAAATGATTTAAAATCAATTTATTCATATAAACTTTAATTATAATAAACAATAAAAGCATATGATTTTTATTTTTGTTTTTTTTTAAAAAAATGAATAGTGACAGCGAAATAGGTTTTTAATGGTTTTACTGAAACACTTTTCTTATCCCAAAATAACTTAATTTTTTATATATAAAATATAATTCATATAAATATTGTAAGCATATAACTCTTTAATTATTTATATGAATTTAAATTGTAACCTCAAAGTTGTTTTTAAAGGTATAAATAGAAACTTTTTTGGTTCCAAAATAATTTTACTTAACTCTTAGTTATGTATAAATAAAATTTATATAAATGTTGCCAGCATTTTTTATTTAAATTTAAATTGTAACCTCAATATGTTTTAGTAAAGGCATTAATAAAAAAATTCTTTGGTTTTTGATATATTTTAAATTAAATTCTTTTTGTATATATAAACTTCTCTAGGAAGCATATAGCTTTTTTATATCTTCTATAATTTAATAGTGGAGGCGAAAATAAATTTAATGGATGACGGCTTTGACAAAAAAAAATTTCGAGTTTAATATGAATTTAAATTAATTTAAATTGAACAATAGAAACTTTTAATATTAAATATTGAAAGCGTGTAGTTTTTATTTTTTACTATAGATTTGAATAGTGGTCGCGAATATGAGTTTTTAATGAAGGCATTGATGGAAATTTTTTTTCGCAATGTTGGCAATACAGTTCTCCTTTAAGAAGACTTAAAGATTCTGAAAAGTCGATCTTAATTAAATAAAAATAAAAATAATAACAAATAAAATCAATAGTATATTAAAAAAAACTTTGATAAGTCCATTTTCTTCGATACATTTAATTACATCAGAAATTCTATACAAAAATGCAGTATTAAAACTTCTCCTGGAATAATATTCATAATGATTATTATTATAATATATATAAAAATAATAAAATAATAAAAATATTTTGTACAACTTTATTTAACAAAAAAATTTTATATACTTTTATAATTTCCTTTACATATAACTTTAACTTTTTAATGAGTTTATATAGTAATAATAATAAACAATATATACCACTGATGCTTTTTTTTCATATAAAAAGAATCAAAATCTTTACTAATCACGTGAAGATGGAGTTGCCTAAAAAATTGGAAATTTAAAATTTTTGTATTATAATAATAATAATTATAAACTTTAAAGAAGGAACTGAATGGAATCCAAAAACGAATTCATATTTTTTTTCTTTATCTATTCTTTCATGAAAAAAATTGTTAAAAAAAAAACATTAAATTGCAAAATAATTTTAAAAAAAGTAAAACTTCCATTACTAAAATAAGTTATATAAAAATAAAAGAAAATTTATAATAATAATAATCTTTAAAAAGATTATAAAAAATAATATTTTTACTAAAAAAAGTAAAACTTATAGTTTAAGACAAAAAAGAGTTAAATGCTGGAAAGTAATCCTAAACTTTATTTAGAAAGAAAAATAAAAAGTATATAATAGTAAAATATTTAATAATAATAATAATAATTAATTTTTTTTATATAAATTTTTATATTTAATATATTTTTAAAATTAAATAATATAAAAATAAATAAAGTAATAATAAAAATATCAATTATATAATAGTATAAAGATTTGAAAAAAATTTAATAAAGGATTAATAAACTTAAAAAGAAATAAAAAAATTTTCTTTAATAATTATAATAATATATTGCTTTTTATGTTTCAGATTTATTTATTTTTAATAAAAATATAATAAACTTTTTAAACTTAAAGAAGTTTTATATTGTTTATATTAATATTTGAAAGTTTATTACTATTATATTATATTTATGATTACGTTTTTCATATAGTATTATATTAAAAAATGTTATAAACTTTTGAAAGTTATTAAAACAAACTAAATTTAGGTATTTTATAATATTTTAAAGTTTATTCTAATTATGATATATTCAGTAATATTATAAACAAAAGCACAAATTATAAAATTTTATTTTTATTATTATTATAAATAAATATTTTTTATAAGTATTTTTAAAGTTCATTGTTATTATGGCTTACGTATTAACAATAGCAGTAAACTTCAAATTTTGGAAGTCTTATTTTTATTATCATTAATAATAAATAATATTTCAAAATTTAATATTATGATTTCTACAATAAAATTATAAAT